AATTCCCCAGGAGAGCATAGTACTATACAATGACATCCTTGACGTGCTGATTGATCAAAATAATCGCCCAACCAGAGCCTGACCTAATATTTCTTTCGTAAGCACACTTGAAGGGACAAATCCCACAATGAACACTCTTACCTTGTGGTATTTCTCAATAGCATCTTTGCCTCAAATAAAACCGTATCTCCATGTCATCCATATTGTCTTGCTGCTGTTTCACTGTAAGTCTCGTTAATTAACAGGTTTTGCTTTGTACATCCGATGCCATGCATACCATTAAGCCAACCATACAGCATTCTTGCTTTGAGATCCGTATCCTGTTGCTGCCAGAGGTACCATCATCCAACATGTTCAACCTACCATAAACGCAATGTGAGATAACAAGTAAAACCAACCCACACGCTTTTGTTGTCACCATACGCAAAAGAAGCAAGGTAAAGACGTCTTGAGAACTCTCATTATGGACAACTCGGTAAGGAAGGCACACGACGCCCTGAACCATGGTGATCACAAGGAATTGCAACCAAATACACCATCCGAAGGCAATACAATAACCAACCTGCAGCGCCAAGGTATGCCACCATATGTACCATACTCTCATTGGATCCTGAAATTGGCATCATAAGAGATATCCACCTTCTCTCTGTAGGCAAGGAAATCAATAGCCGCACTTGGATGGAGGCCGTGCGCACAGCGGATGCATTTTTAAATCCCTGAGGCCGCATCTTGAGTCACACTGTTTCCGGGCCAAAATTCCCCAGGAGAGCACAGTACTATACAATGACATCCTTGACGTGCAGCCTTGATAATAATAGTATCGCCGAAAGAGTCTCTGCCACTGTATGGCGTTTGGTAAGTTCACTTGAATCCAATCAATCCCGTCATAATGAACACTCTTACCTTGTGGTATTCCTCAATAGCATCTTTGCCTCAAATAAAACCGTATCTCCATGTCATCCATATCATCTTGCTGCTGTTCATTGTGAAGCTCGTTAATTAACAGGTTTTACTTTGTAGATCCAATACCATGCATACCATTGAGCCAACGTACAGCGTTCTTGCTTTGATATCAATGTCTTGTTGTTGCTGCCACAGGTACCATCATCCAACGTATTCAAGCTACTGTAAATGCAATGTAAGGTAACAAGGATAGCATTCGCTGTTCATGTCGACATACCCATAGTAACAATATGTTGCGACTTCTCCTTGATGACAAGCATGGAAAGCATACACACGACACACGACGCCCCCCTTTGGATCTTGTATAAACGAGAGAACAGCAACCTACACGTGAACTTTAGCACCTCAATGTCCAACTTGAACAATAAAGGAATGCAGCGATTGAACGTACATGCTGTATTGCAATGGAAGGTTGAGTCATGGGCAGATCGCGCGCGTACTTGCTGTTGAATGTCTGGAACTGGAAAGTGTTGCCATTGACCACATGTTCAACCCAATGGACGCTGTACATTGTAAGGAATGCCAGCAATTAACGCGTTGTAGTTTGTAAATGGAGACAAGCTTACCTTTTTTGTGAAGTGGAAGTGGAGAAGAGTGGTCTCTTTGTTCCTCCTGTTCGCTCCAATTCGTGCACTCCATGTCACCCCGCTTGCTACAGCTATTACTGTTTATACGTAACCTCACAATATTCTATGCCCTTAGCTCCATAAGAATGATCACTGCTCAAGACTTCAATTGAGAACAGCCCTCGTAATTAAGCTATTAGGTCTGTGCGCATTCCATCGATCGATTAGTTATGCAGCTTCACCCCTGGACCAACTTGTGTAACCAACTGTGTAACCCCCTACCAAATAATATATGATATCTCTCTTTCCACCTTTCACGTTTGCAGTTCCCCTTTTCAATGCAGGAAACAACCCAAGTGATCCACCCAATGCACATCTAAGCTAATAGTACGATACCCAAAGCGTTATGTTGAATCCAATTTTCATTCAATAAAAGGTCGAAGAACACGTAGACACGGTATTGTGGACGATGATGTTGTATGTACATGATACATAAGGGAACAATATAGCCAAATTGAATAGGGTACATATGGGCGAAACATATAGAGTCATTAGGGATAATTGCATCATTCTATACTTAAATGCTGTCGTCATAATCACCCTTCATCCATGATTGCAAAATAGGTGTTGTATGCTTTGGCTCAACAAGTATTCCAGTATCATCCATAGCTGTGAAACACCTCCTTTCGTCAAAGATACAAGCCCTCTCCTCAATTCCATCCGAACCATCCTCCTCCTCAGCAGTATGCATAGGGTATGATTCATCATTCCTACTGATGACGCGCCAAGCAACCAAAGCAACATTCCAAGACTTCTCATCACTGCACTTGATCGCATCCTTCCATCCATAACCATTGTAAACCCAATATTGAGGCTGACATGCTTCCTTTTCCATCCAGCTGTTGGTCAATCCCTTTCTTGGTCATTTTCCATCACAGCTCAACCAGCTAAAGGTTGCTTGTATTGTGGGGTAGTTGATGGCTGATAGCGCGTCATCCAAAATAGACATCACGTTCCAAATGGGCCAAGGGAACCAAACCAGACAATGTATACACTTCCATCCATCCCATATAGCAAACCAATATTCAGATCCTTATTCATATTAACAAGAAGTCGTATGTATTGGACAAAGTTGCTATGCATAAACGAAGCTGCTTCTATACAATGGCTATTTGCTGTTCATGTGACAAGGTCGCAAGACAAGTTGCTGCAAGCAAAGAACGCTGTTTGGGACAATGGAGTAAAGGCTTTGCTAATAGCGACTGCTGCAATGAATGCTGTTACGATCGGTCGTTGTAGAAGAGCGGCAAGAGGCTGTGTACACGCTATGGGCTTGCCATTCAGTCAAAGTCAATTGGATCAAGGCAGTTGTATGGTTGATATGATGGGTCGAAGCAGGACAATCGTTCGCAGGTGGTAGTTGCACTTGAATGAGCAATAGTTGAGTTTGGGAGGACGAGACAAGAAGTGGAAATCAAATAGATCGGAACGCAAGAATACTGTACATCAATTCTTGATTACGAGATTGCCCCTTTCGAACCTGAAACTTTCACACAAGATGCTCTTGGACATGCTGATCAACTTTGTATTATAAAAGAACTTATACTTCATTATAAAAATCTTGAATGGGAGGAGGGTGCAAATGTAGTAGGTGCGGATTGAGACATCCTGTATACGAACCTATGAGCTTTTTGTTGAGCGTTGCCCGGTCAAATCATCTCAGATTAAGATAGTTGAAAGATGAAAATGATGGGATGAAGCAGGAGAATCCTTGACATGTAGTGGATTAGGCAACAATTTCAAATAGGAGGAAAGGACCAAAAGCTGGTAGTCTATGAATTTGAAATTGAATTGGGTATGCTGTTCATGCACTGATGTGTTCGCTGCCCTGAACATTGATCCAGGGCATTATCTCTAAAGGGTGGTAAAAGTTGCAAGCTCCTGTAAGGGCGAATGCTGCAAGATTGTGGTGATATAAACGTGAAAGCCTACTTTAATAACATTATACCATCAGCGATGTTAACCCATTCAAAGAGAAATCAAAAGTCTTCGAGCGAAGCGGAGCGGGGCCGCTAATGATGTCCATAGTAGGCATCAGGGCTCAGGGCTAGGTAGCGGAGATTGTCGATTGCACACATGCAGCTAGGACTTGTGGCCGCATTACTCTTCTCTAATCTTGCCCTTATCTCTGATAATGTGATGTGCAGTTTTGTGGTATCCATTTGAGCCCAACACGACACCTTATCTACCTAGTATCTATAGCATTACCCTCAAGAGACAAAGGTGCACAAAGCATCCTTACGAGAATTTCCTAATCGGACACCTATGCTGCTACAAAAGTTGTAGATGAGGAACCAGGTTTTTTGTAACTTCAATTCAAATCAATCAGCGTGTGGGCAATAGATTAGGTAGCATGACATGAGCGCATCCTTTTCCAGGATGATGGATCTTTTGTTCATGCATGTATTGTACAACTCTGAAACCAAGAAGAAGCAGTTTAGCTAGAATGGAAAGTGATTTCAATTTGGATACTAGTAAAAATGCATCATTGTGCCTGATTTCATTATAAATGTGCTTCTCCGATATTGTCATGGTGACGCGTGGGATTCCTCCCACACAGTATCAGTATATGTTTCAGTGGACCTATCGCATCTTACATAGCTACTATAGTTGATCTTCATTATCTAATATACATCATAGAGAATTCATTACGCCGATTCACAAGGGAAGATGTATGGTGGGATAAAAGATAAGAATGGGTATTATTGATTACGTATGTATTGTTTGTGATAGATTGGTTGAGTGGTGGTGCCTTGGTGATAGGATGAACAAATACGGCAGGTTCAAAAGCAGCAGCGCAGTAACCTCGTGAACTATGCTCTCTTCCACTTTGTGGTTCCAAAAAGAAAGGCGACGGGCTGTCGACGTTTATTCAACCCCCTTCGCTTTGACCCAATCTCCTTGTTTCCTTTGGCGATTCCCACGCCTTACGATTCACACATCTCTTTTGCACCGTTGACAAAGAACCCATCACCGACTGCGGTTCTATTATGCATCTTTGGAAATGACCTTCCCCGGCACTCCTCCCGCATCTTATCCAAGCGGCGCAACACAACCCAATCCACGAAGCTATTCATCGTCACCCATTGCACCTGTTGGACCTTCAACCTCGTCTTCCTCTGGTACTCGCAACAATAAGCTGGACCATATTATCCAGGTGTGTATGTGTGTGTGCGTGCGTTATGCAACGTCGCCCCGACGACCATGTGATTAACATTGGGGTGTTGATGATATAGAACTTTTATACCAAAACCGTCCAAGTGATTGTTCAGGCACGTGTATCACCAGATAGCGATCGACATGGCAAATGCAGTAGTACCAGTAGTACAACAAGTGCTTCCAGCTCATCCAAGAACAAAATGAATAAATGGGCAAGTCATCATCATCATCATCATCATCATTGTATCCATCTCCTAATATTGCTCTTATAGTTCAATATCGCAACACAGGATGCTGAATTCTTACGAGAAGATCTAAAGTATTGGCGATCTCGGGCAATACAATCCATGGATCGAGAACCACCACCTTTGATATTGGACATCTACCTGGATACATCTGATCTTACGCCAAATCACAGTCTCATGTTGGCCATTGACAGGGCACGATTCAATAAGGTTGACCTCCCCTATTCAACAAATCGTATCCTGTTGGAGCGATGGACATTATCATTAAAGTAAGTATCCCACAAACGAGAAGGAGAGGAATGTGAGAGAATAACAAGGAGGGACATAGTCATCCATTGCCTGATTTTCCAGTGGATCTACCCAATCTCTACAAACGCTCCATTATCTTTTTCCGGGCGCTTTATTCTTTTGTCCGCTTGTTGCCAGGGCATGAATTACATCGTCGCTTATCCAAATATGGCCAGCAACTGAATGAATTATCTTTGGGTCATCGCCTTTCATCAACCATTATCAATGATAAATCCGAATTGTCCTTGGGTAAGTAAGGAGGGAATGGCTTTATGGATTATGTCATGCTGACACTATCTATATAGACAAGCCGATCTTGGATGGGAATGCCCGAGATACGCATAAGTACGAGTTTTCAGACGTAGTTACACCACTTGGGTATGTATTAACTTTTATACGTTGGTATATGGAGACTAGAGGTTAATCTTACGATCAGGATTTTCAAGTTACAAGTGCAATATCGGAAGAATTGCGATTTTCGTGTTGAGGATTCGGAGCGTGATTTGAGCGCACGGATGATGGATTTGCATGAGCAATTTTTTACTCCAACCATGGATAAGCACAAGCAAGAACAACGTCCTCGATCAGCTGTTTTTTATGATGAGCAAGAGGTATGATAAGGAAAAGGAGTTTGCATCATCCGTAAGCTAAACCCATGTTTAAACAGGAAGCATCGCAACGTGCAGTGCATCGATTTTCTTCTTCATTTGCTCCAAGACCATCGAGTGCAGCAGCAGCAACATCCGATTCACGAGAACAGCGACAACGACGTACAAGTATTGGATTACGTGGTTCACCTACAGGATCCCTTAAGGATACTATATTGAGTCGAGCAGCACAACATCAACAACAACATCAACAACAGCCAAGTCCCATAGACACAAGCACGCATGCACCTATCACCATTGGTAGTCCTCTTAGCAAACGACTATCAGCACCCCACACATCACCTTTCAAGACACCATCGCTATCATCCTCACCCCAAGCAGAGATCATGTGTATGTATGTGAAGGGGTGTTCTCCAGTGAAAACATTAAGCTAATTGACCTTTTGATGATGATGATGAATAGTTTCCAGAAGTGGTGAAGGCATGATTGGTCGACCGCAAGCATCATTGAGTGATCGAGTTCGTAGTACAACCACCATGGCGGATGCTGGTAGTAGTGGATCCATGCGAAGTCGAATTGAATTCTCTCCAAGTTTTGATAAATTGCGAGAACACACAAGGAGCCCCAGCCGCACTGATTTGACACGTCGTTGGTCAAGGACTAGCGATCACAGCTCGATCAATCTTGTAAGTGTATATGTATAGTCTCTTTTCCCCTTTATTACATGGTATTCAAGAATGGCTCTTTAGGATATGGATGATACCGGTCTTGAGGAATTCATGCGTTTAGCAGCTGCCACACCTGAACTCAAGATGTTTCAAAGTCGAAACTATACAAGCCAATTTATGGATACGGATAGTGGTGGTGGTGGTGGTGGCGGTGGCAATATATCACCTACATATGACAACAGTGCTGGTGGCATGGCAACAAGTGGATCTGGTGGCGGTGGTGCTAGTGCTTCGATTCATCGATCCAAAAAGGCTCTCTCCCACTTTCGCAGTTTACGGGATGCACACAATACACTTTCAGAATCAATGACATCCAGCGTACTTGCACGTTCTGGAGGAGGAGATACGCCTTCATCACCTACAACGGCTGCAGGAATGGCTGGTGGGGTATCACTTGGATCATCGACATCATCATCCACAGGGCGATCCTATATGCCAGTAGTGTCATCACCGCTTCATGCTACCGAGAGCCCTTCATCTGAGGATTTACGTAATCAACAGCATCGTCATAGTGATCCAAGCGCTCGTATTATCCATCAAAGACACCATTCTTTATCACAACAGCAGCTTCGACCTGGTAGCAACAGCAGCAGCACTAGTCTTGATAGGAGTCCACCTGCTTTTGCCAGCTATCCCAAAGATCGCCATCATGATGAGTTGCGTCGTCTTTGTGAAGAGGATATGATGGGAGACCATGTGGTATCAACCAGTGATGGTGGTGGCAGTGGCGGTGTTGCCAATCATAGTGGCGGATCAAGGAGATATCGTGGCAACAGCTTGATCAGTGATGACGCTGGTACAGAGATTCGACGTCAAGAGAGCATGAATAGTCTTCGTGAGCATCGTACCAGTATTGTGGATGATGATGATTCATTAGTATTCAAGATGAGTGAGCTTGGTGTCGAAGGTGGTAGTGGGAGTGGCAGCAGCAGTCTATACCAGCAACAACAACAAGAGGCACCACCCTTTGCTTTTTCACGAACACCTATTGATCCATACAACAACAACAACAACAATGCACGTGATTATTCTCAATGTTTGACAATTGGCACCAATCCAGGTGGTGGCGGTGGCAACAGCAATGCTGGTGGTGGAAGTAGTTGTAATAGTAGCGCAGCCAACGTTGATCACGTAGCACATCCAACATTACGACGTATCGGTAGCAGTACTAGTTTACGACAACAACCCTCATCCATGGCAACCGTTGTCGAGGAAGAAGAAAAAAGTGCCAGCAGCAGCGCAAGTGAAGATATTCATCCAACAAGATAACCGGGCATTGTTGACGACGATCGCCTTTCAAGTTACCCCTCATCATACATCAGTCCCTTTTTTTATTTCTCTTTTGCATCTGTACTACTAAGAATGAATCAACATTTTTCTTCTAATATAAATCACAATGTGCGTTTTTTATCATATGAGCAGGAACGTGTTGTTGATGGGTAATTTAGCAAGGATACATAATATGATGATGTAAAGATGGATCCATTTATTGGTGTGTACTGTAAAGGGGAAGTGGTTGATTACATGATGGGATTTTGACTCTCTTTCTTTCTCCCTCCTTGTCGAGAACATTGGTTGGAATTCATTTTAGGCAAGGCGTGCTTTTTGCTTTCTTTCTCCTCTACTTGAGCTACTCACGCACACCACCACCACCTCTACAACGACTCCTACTTTTCTACTTTCAAGCCCACTCTCACCTACATTCACACATTCACATTTAAAAAGTCTTTGTCGTTATGTCAGTCTCGTCACACGACGGTAGTGAAAAGGACAGTGGTCTTTTCCATCGCATGTCGGAAGGCTTTCCTCATCGTTATGCAGCCATGCGCAAGACCGACTTGCTTGACACCTTGGATGTACGACATCGTGACACGGATACTTGGAGTGTTGCAGCGACGATTGACGACCAGGAATCAGTTATCAGTGGCGCTGGAGGAACAGCGAGTATTGTGAGCAGTAGCCGAGCTACAGTGGAAGGACGAGAAACAGACGATGATCGGTCAACACTGGATGGCGGTGGCAATGGAAGTGATGCTATACATCCTGCACTTTTGACTTCTTTTCGACTTGAGACTTTACGTGATTTGGATGGTGGTAGTGGTGGAGGAGGACAAGATACGGCAAGCACTATTGACGACAATCGATCCCGGTCTAATGCTGCCGAGTTTGGTGATGAAGGCACTCGGTCTGCAGCGACAGATTTCGATCAAAGTGATACGAGTGATGATGAACAAGGAGGAGGACACCAACATCGAGTAGTCAATGATGATATCTCGGCACCTCCACAACCACAACCAAGCTTTGCCAGTGTCACCAAATCCTTTGCAGAGTTGATGGAAGAAAATGAAGCCTTACATACTCAACTACGCAATCTTCAAATCGCCCAAAAGCATCAATCAGAGCTTATTGAAAACTTGCGTTCTCTCACCAACTGCAATGAAGAAGTTTATGGTCAAGCCTTGCATCTTTCTCAAGTCACTCCCGAAGAACTCGAACGTTGGAATCAACAAAGTAGAGCTACTACCACTGCTGCTGGATCATCATCGTCATCCACCACACCAGGTCGAGAACAACAAGAAGCTACAAGTGCTCATTCCCTTGCTCAACAACTCGCAAGACTCGCTGAACTTGTCACTCGTTATACCCAATTGGTGGATCATCAAGATGACTCGGCAAAGATTCGATTTGAGCAGGATCTTTTCGCTCACATCGTGAGTGCTTATTTTGATTCGCTTCCTTTTGGTACTGAAAATCAGGAGCTTTTGAACCTTGCGTATTCGGATCAAATGCGTCGATTCCAAACAACCCTCGGTGCTCATTTCGCAAAGTGGTATCGTCGACAAACCGTTCAATCACTCTCGCTCAATCCTGCTTCCAAGGAACATCTTGAACGTCTGCGTATCGTGATGACTGATAAGTTTTATCGCAACCAACATAAGCAAGAATGGGATGAATTACTCGAACATTGTGCCGCCCTTTCCTTGGTCATTCATGCTGGTGATGCCGATGTCACAACACAACAAGTTGAACAAGGTGCAAAGTACGATCCCCACATTATGGCCGTCGTCGGTAACGAGAGAGCTGATGATACCAAATCCGTCAAGGCCGTGCTTACCCCTTTGTTCATTGATGAAGAGCAGGTGGTCCTGATGCCCGCACGCGTGATATTGCAGTAGTAGCCGTTTATGTGTTGTGTATATATGCAATTTGTATAAAGATATCAAAACATTGGTCTTTTCAAACTTGATTGGTCTTCTTATCCACATACGTCTAGTAATGTAGCGATTGGATTATGCCATAGCGAATAATTTAAGCGTGCTAATAAGGTCGGCTGTTGTAAAGGATGCGTTTGACAAAACACGCATTCTAGAAAAAATAACGTGTGTGCGCTCGGAAATCACGGGCCGCTGTGTCTAAGTCGGTGTTACTGGAAAGGGAACGTGCTCATGGTGGGAAGGAATGTTATCATAATGATGAATCGTTTTATAGCCTATGGGATCGATAAAATACATACACTCAGCATACATGGTGACATGTTGACTATCTTTGAGCTTGGCTCTTTTTACCCATATGGGTGCTGCATCATCGAGAGAGTTGTTTCAAGGCAACACAGTGCGGCATGTCGCGGGTTTAAATGGCGTGTTGTGGCGTAATGCTCCTGCTTGAGCAGTAGAAGCTACTCACAAGTAACCATTGTTGATGTCAACTACTACTTTATCTGATTCCCGGTTTATGGTGCTGCTTTTGATGATCAACCCTCTTCTTCTCTTGAAAACGTTTTAACGTTCAAATACGCGGTCGTACCAATATTTCAAGGACACGCTCCCCTAAACTTTGTATCCCTCTGCCATTCGAAAACGGAAGCTTTAGGTCACCGCTGTCGGGCATGATGACATTCACATTACATGTGTGGCACATCGTTCATGTACCCTTGTCCCTGTGTACCATTGTATGCGAGATTATGTCAAGAAATACATATACTTTGTCCATCATAAACTTAAACTAAGCCGCTTTGTTTATCCCTTTAAATATGGATTAGCCGAACCTGATCGATATACAATCTTCTCTTTCCGACATTCATCATCACACAACATGGCTCCCTTGAAAGTCATTGGCGCTGGCTATGGGCGTACCGGCACTGATAGTTTGCGAACCGCTCTCAACATCCTTGGGTATGCATTGCGTATGTCCATCAAAAACGCTTCCAAATGTTAACCCTTTATGTTTGTCGTTAGGTTCAACTGCTTCCATATGAGAAGCGTGATGATGGATAATGTGGATCGCCATCCAGAGGTGTTTACGGATGCTTTCCTCCATCCCGAAAAGCCTGTGGATTGGGACATGTTGTATGAAGGCTTTGATGCTGCTGTGGACTGGTAAGGTTTTTCCCTGCATGTATTACGCCATGATGCTAACGAGCCTGTGTATCGTATCAAGGCCAACCGTTTCCTTTGTGGACCGTTTAATGAAGCATTACCCTGATGCCAAGATTGTCCTTACCGATCGTGATGCCGATAGCTGGTATCGCTCTGTCAAAAGCACGCTTTTCAGCCTGGTGTCTGAGGGACGTCGTGATTATGATAGTATGTCTGAGTACATGAAGCGTGTCAGAAAAATGGGCGAGGTGCTCATTTTGGATGGTGCTCTTTACGATCCCGAGAAGTTTAACGATGAAGAGGCTATCAAGGCAATGTTCAACGCTCACGTTGAATGGGTTAAGAAAAACGTCCCAAGCGATCGACTTTTTATCATGCAACTTGGTGAAGGTTGGGAACGACTATGCAAGTTTTTGGATGTACCTGTACCCGATGTTCCTTATCCAAGTGCAAACTCCTCCAAATCATTCCAAGATGAATTTTTAAATGGTAAATTGAAGGAGACAATTCTCAAAGAGCAACCAAAGGATGCACAATCCGCGTAATGTTTAATCCTTTCGACCACGTGGTGGTGTACATATACCTGAACTACCTATAATGCATATGCTGTTGGTACAATAAACCCAATTTCAAACCACGTACATGTATCCATACGTCCAATCTTCTCAGTGATCATGTAAGCAATGAGCCCAATAAGGTTCATACATAGTAGCTGATGATGATATACAATTATGACCATACCTAAGATTACGTGGCAGCAGCCTCTTACATATCGGGTATAATTTGCATGAAAATAACATGGCCATTGATCCCAAAGCATCCGAAGCGGAGGCGGTAATATGGAAGCCCATCTAACAAAGGCACACAATGACATGCCCATTGACGAATCCTTCTTCTTTTAACACACGAATACACGCGAGCTATATCAATGATTCTTTGTTTATACGTATACAATGCACTCATTATGTACCGTTTTGCTTCAATTCAGTAAGCAGCTACTTTTTCCATCGTCAGCATACAATAGAACAAATATATGGGATGATGCTGCCTCCTTGTATGTTATCATACACTCCGATGAAAGCTTTCATTATGTGGATGTTTTGGCTTAATGGCCACACTTACCACTTTATCAGGAGTGCGCGGTAATTCAATGCTATTGGTCAATGGCTGTCCTCTTTCTTTAAGCAAGACAAAGACCATGCACATAGCTTGTCTTATATAGAGCTAGGGGATGTCGTATCACAAAGAGAAAACGTACCCTTTTTTCCCTTCATGGCTCGTTCCAAAAAATCGCGTTCACGTCAAAAAAGCAAACGTCTTAGTGGTCAACATCCCCAACAACGACCAGTGGTTGACGCACAATCCACATCTCATATTCAGCCGTATGAGACCACTGACCACGAGGGTATTCAAAAAGATCATGTTGTAGCAGAGAATCAACTTGAGGATCCTGGGCAAGAAAATGATACCACATCAAAGGGCCAAAAAGTTGATACCACACAAGAAGACGATGCTGCACCCGAAAACCAACAAGGTGATTCCATACAAGAAGATGAGGCTGCTCTAGAGAATGAAAGAAGCGATCCCCGGCAAGAAGGTGATGCTACACCAAGTCATCAACAAGGCCATCTTGAGCAACGAGGTGATAGCATATCAAAGGATCATCAAGGTGACCCCGAGCAACAAGATGATGCAGCAGCAGAGAACCAAAAAGATGACCATGAGCGAAAAGATGGTGCTACATCAGGTCACCAACAACAAGATGATGCCGCATCAAAGAATCATCAAGGAGGCGATCCCAAGAAAGAAGATAATGCTGCACCAGAGAACCAAAAAGACGATCCTGAGCAACCTGATGTTTCAACTTGCCAACAAGATAAGGGTGATACAGCTACAGCGTTGGTGACGGTGAGCGATAGTTTGGAACAGGAATTGTCACTATGTATGCAAGACATACAAGAACTTTGGCGAAAAGCAGAATTGGCGCTTCAGCAGCAGCATACGGAGCAACAATCAAGTAGCGTTAGCGAGCAGTTCAATAACCTTAGTGAGAGATTGAAGCTTATTAAGCAAGAGCAGGAAGAGCATCATCGTTGTATGCAAGAGAAACTGAACTTGTTGGAACATCACACTCGCAATATCTATCCATTGCATTCAAGTTCTCGAAAACAGCCATCCACAAACCGACAAAAGGATGATCATTGCCCAACCTCAGCAAACAGTGATCAGCAACAGGCTCCTCAATCCATTCATAGCTGCGTAGTTTCATAGTAAAGGAGGAATTTTAGTATAGAGGAATACATTGGAAGTGCTTTTATATTAAAAGGGTCATATTTGGCTTAAACGATGTATGGGGGGATTGGATTAACAAGGTGTTAAGATTAATGGTATTATCCTTTTTATTCATTTTCATCGATCTATATCCATGGCATCATCCTTATTCTCAGTTGGGGTAACATCACCGTTAGCTAGCTTTTTGCTGTATTCATAGTATTGGTTGGGATGCTCGATAGGGTCGATTTTGCCGGGTTGGTCTGGATGAGTCACTTCGTAAAGGCGAGTACAGGCGATTTGATAATGTTTGCTCTCGACAAGGTTCATAATCTCGTTGACATGGACAGTGCTGACACGATTACGATAAAGCTTGGCTTCCAGGTTACCACGTGAGAAATGGCGGAAGGGACAACCATGATGATCTCCGGTTGATGGTGGATTGCCTTGAATAATCTTCATACAGCTGTAGGGAGCATAGCTAACACGTTTGCCTTCCAAGCCATAGTTGTGTCGAATGTTGTAAGCGTATTCCTTTTGAAACTTGTCGTCTGGAAACTTGGAAAATGCTGTTCGCCAGAAAACCAATGCTTCATCCACCGATAAACCAATAGCCTAATAACAATTACCATTGTCAGCCACCCAGCAAATACCAGATCAACATTTGAATTGCTTACCTTGAGGAAAAGACCATATTGCATACGGCCACCATGTCGAAGATGCTTATCCGCTCGTAATGCTTCATGTAAATGTGACATACAAAGAGGGGCGTGTGCACGAACAAGCTAATGCCGATAATCAGTACCATCCCCCTCGCATAGATGTTGTATGTCGCTTACCTTATCCACATCACCAGCACGCACAGTACCCGTGACAGCACCATCCACACCATACTCTTTGCCCATATACTGCTTTTCCACATTCACAAGAATCGGTCGTAGACGATCATCCTCTTCCATCCTTGGTAATGCCTTTGCAGTTGCCTATAATATCACCACATTGGTTAATCTTCATTCTCATCCTACTCCAAGTCAATCCACTTACTTCCAGCGCAGCTGACAACATTCTCCTAAATTCATCCATGACCAGACTGACTTGATCGGACATGGGCACATAGGCTACACCTCCTTCAATATAGACTGATCGATTCGAGAGCAAATCCGGCACTTTTTCAAAATCAACCTACAAACAAACATCGTGTTACACACATAGATTGTCACCATTTGACACCCTCCATATACTAACCTTAAAGTAAGTTTCACTTTCGACAATGGCACGTGTAGATTGATTGGCTTTGCTTGCTTTCCATATAGCACATGCTTCCAGCTTATCCCGTATCCGCCGCTTTTCTTCAGGTTCAAGCTATGAATCATACCATGTCAAAACGTATCATTCACTATATCCATGTATATATACTTACAGGTGTCCAGCTCAACTTTAAACCGGCAACAAACTTCTTCTTTTCTTCCAAGGTTTCTTGTTCAAAGCGATACCTAGGTGATCATGTCAATTTTCTTGGTATCAACGATAAACACAATGATCTTACTTGAAGAGAGCACATTCTTGTCGCAAAAACCATGCACGAGAATCCTCACTGATAAAAAGTATTGTTATGAGTCGACACTGCTCCTTTTTTTTAATGATCCCCCTCAATCCTTTTACCTTCGACAATAAGCAAGCCGTAAGACAAAGTGACTGACATGATCCTTCCTCCGTTCTTCCAGGAGCTTGGTGGATTGTGTGAGGTTGGATTTCATTGGAAGAAACTTTTCAAGAGCTTGATCCACTTGGCGTTTGTAGTCAGGTCCACGTTTATTGCGAAGTGCTGCTGATTCGAGTGTCTTGAGGACTAGACCACATGCACACAAATGAATGAGGGGTTCTATGAGTGAGGAATGTGACCAAAAGTTACCTTGGAGACGATCGAGTGCAAAGAGTTCAAACTCTTCAATGGTGATTTCGAGAGGTGGTGGTTCGGTGTAAAAGTTCAATCGTGAAGGGTATGGTGAGCCTGCAAGCGGATCGTGAGGTGTTCCCTTGTCGACGTAAATATGTTGATGTCGAGTTGCTGCAGATGCAAAGCGATTAGGGCGATTTCGTTTCTGTTTGAGCATTGTGGGTCGGTATCAAGAAGAGGAGAGAACACGAGAAAGGAACGCGAAACGCGCGACGTGACATTGCTTTCATTTCTGTGCCGCTCACACACACCCATCTTGGCCGCGTTTCAACATCAGCCTGCCAACCACACTCACTCGCTCACTCACTCACATGCTCCCACCCACACACATCGCATTATAAGAGAGCGTATTGTAAATGATATCATGCATAGATGAACACGCCTTATTATCACCTAAATATAGCTCCCCATAAAGCCCAGAGATCCTAAACAACCGAGGAATTGCCGTGTGTATCACTTTGTTCTTGTAGTAGTAGGAAGGAAATAAATGTCCTTTCCAAACATGCCTACTTGTTATTGTTTTTCAATGCGGGTACCGGGTAACTCGCACAAGGAAAAAAGATCTTTTTGATGGTTGCTATGAAACCAATCGTGCATAAGTGTCAGGCTAAAAAACGGTACATCCCCAGACGAAATATTGATATAGAAGATGCTGGCGCTGTATAGGGCTGAATTTTTATGCATCCATTACATTACATACGCCAATGCTGCCTGAGATGGATCACACAACACAAGACATATCATTACAGCTGCTACATACATCATGTTGAATAACGACATGGCTGAAAAGCTTATTCAATATCGATAAAGAAGCAGCAGCAACAGCACAATGATGAAGTCCATTGTACCCAATACAAGGTCCGGTGACACCTGATCCGTTTCATGCAGATACCAGAAGAAAGGATACCAACAACACACATGCATGCCAAGACATTTGATTACCTCTCCCCCAAACTTTTTTGTTTATAAACATGCCGATCAAAGGTGTGTGTTTTATTATTGATGATGGTTACACGCACAACAATACCTGTGTGCTAAACGACAAGGAGCCAAATGTGTATATAATACATGTGTATGTGATATATGTAATCAGATGAAGGGGAAGATGAGAAATGATGAGCAGCACGGAATTGTGTTGCAAACCCTTAAAATCGCCAAGAGAGAGAGGAAGGGGATGATGTTGTTGTTGGTGTGAGGAATCCCAAGACCTTGTTTTGGATAAGGAAGGACACATGCGTGATATCCAACTCGATTGGATGGCGGTAAAGGTAACAAGTCGTATAATATCTGCATCAAGGGGTGACGGAATGGCGAAAAAAAGGGGGGGAGGTGGAAAAGTTGAGTTGAGGAGTAGCGTGATGTGGGAGAATAAGTGTGATTTTCTTAGTCCATGAAAGGATAATTATCCCAGAATGGGAAAAAAAAGAGACAGCCCCCCGTCATCGCCATGCGCGCAGCGCAAGGTGAATCACAGCGGATTGAAAACTTCGATGCCGATTATTGTTGGTGTTGCGTACAAGCGCTTTATCATTATCATCCTTCTCATCAATGAAAAAGAGTTGACCAAGAACAGGACGTGCGGTATTTTCGGTTGCAGGTGATCTGTCATATTCGGATGGGCTGTGGGTATAATACACATCCTCCACAAGTTCAAAGCGTACGGATTTACTCGACTTGCTGGATGCTTCCGATTTACGTGAAGAGGTTGATTTTTGTCGTTTCAAGTGCATGGATCGTACTTGTGATGAGAACCTACGCCATTGTCGTACGGCGAATGAAGAAGGAGTCACCGTTGTCGTGGTCAAGACCGTGTGCATGGATGTGTGTGTATATGGTGTACAAAGAAAAGCAAAAGTGCGATACGCGTGCAAGTACGTATGAAGATGTAATGATCAAATGTTAAAGAGCAAAGAGAGAGAGAAGAAGAAAAAGAGAGAAAAAGAGAGGAGTTTCATACACAGAATTTAACTTTGACGCTGATGCTGATGCTGCTTCATGCAGCTTTATGATCATCCCATCTGGTTCCAGCACTGTTATGATTACGAAAAATAATGCCCGAGCATGACCGACCGAATGTGGGGGTTTTAGTAGGGTTTGTTGTTGTAAGATTGGAATTGGGGCCACGCTTTGTGTACTAGAAGGTCTTGGCGGTTAAGGGCGGATTATCAACCAACACACAAAGGGGATGATAAATGTACCTGATTGACACAAAAGGAATCCCCCCAACAAGCCCTAGAATTATTTTTTATACATATTGCACACCGCACACACACACTCATACTCTATTACTGGTGCTCACACGCATCCATCATCATCATGACGACCTCCTCATCTTTATCACATCGACACATTCTCTCCCCACAAAAGGGATTTTCCACCATGAAATTCCTCTTGGCAGGGATGGATCCAGGTTAAGGATGATGACTGTCATACCATTTTACTATACATCAGCAGAGGCCATCACATCACCTGATATTTGGGTTGCTATTATTATTGGGTTACATACAAACAAAATTGTGGCCGTGCGCACACAACATACCAGAAAGGCCTTTGCACACACACAGCGCATGACAGATCATACAACGTATGCACATACTTGACTTTGTGCATCCTGAACTAGCATGAAGGTATGCAACAGTAAGGCACGGTCGATGTAAGGAGGCTACTTGCAGCATTAATTCACGACTTGAGGAAGAAGAGCAGCAATGTCGTCGTTGAGCCGTTTCATCTTACAGGCATCAAGGACATACCAAGTTGTTGGAGGAGGATGAAATCGACATCATTGTCAAGCAGCATGTTGTTGGTCTCATGATCGATTCAATGGATGAGGAGAAACAAGGCGGACATGATAACGTGCAGGTTGTCAGCACTCATTGAAAAGAATGGGTTCCTTGATCCTCACATAAAGCTCCCGCATATTGTCTTCTCCGTGCTGTAGGATTAAGTATGTCATGGATACCGAGAATGATCTGATGTGTCCTTTCAAGCAATAATGGTGTGATATTGATATTTACTGCATCACCCAAAAGCAGAACAATGACAACAAACTTGATTACAAACACACGTTGTGATGTATCTATGTGACATTGTCAACTTGGGCCATCAATTTGATGGAATACACACCCCTTGAAGCACATACTCACACGGTGACGCGAGTCAAACCCTGTCATGTACACCCATTTTCCTCTTCTTGTCTCCCTTAGGGATTATCCTGTGCTCGGAGGTTGACGTTGGAGCAAATATCAACACCGCGTGTATAGGCTTGGGAAGAAGGGACCATTTGCAGGATCTCTCCTTACTAGGGTTCATTCATATGTATCACAAAGAAGATGGATTCATTGTTGTTGTAGCAGTGGTGGTCTTATTGATCTTTCATCATCGCACAATGGTGATTTTCTAATTTTACAACTAGCAACCTTGTTGTTGGTATGGAAGCCATAATCCGTTTATTATGAATAACCATATTAGGCTACTTAGGAGGGGCAATGATTGTAAGCGAATAGCTGTATTATGACTACATTGTTGATGGCTAATCCTTTGTCACACAAACTTTTTTAGTCGTAGCGAGATAAGGCATTACTGTTTCATGCAAATAGTAGTAGTAATAATAGAATTGGAGAAGGCCACATGTTGGGTATGTACTAGTTGAAGGGTAATCCAAGAACCTGGGATGCCATGTTGTAAGTGTACAAGGAAGATCATCTTTGATTACTCATCCTATTGTCAACAGCCCGATCACTCAGCCCAATGAAGTGATGATGTTATCATCCAAGTAGTAGTAGTCTTCAAAGCGATTATAGTATTCGGTCATTGTGACTGCAGCGTTATGGGGGAATGCTTTATTCAAAGACACCTTTGTGAATTGGATATGATGTCGGGCGTGTGTGTGTCTCTTTTTCTTTCTTTACTCTCTCTCTGCTTTCGTTGTTGGTTTCAACGTATCTGTTTCCACTGTATTTGTCATCCCTTGATTCAGCATGGCTTCCGAAAGCAACCATTCACCCGACCCACCAGAAAATGCAGCAAACTCATCGTCAACGACAACTCGTTCTCCATCGATGGTGCTAAGCATAAAGACATTGGAACAGCAAACGAAGCCTGTCACCATATCCCGAGATGCTTCGGTCCTTGACCTCAAACATGCCGTGCAAGGTGTCTTCCAAATCGAATCCAATCGTCAACGACTTATCTTCCAAGGCAAAATGATGAAGGACGGTCAAAACCTGGCAGAGTACGGTACGTTTCTCCTCATCTATACCCAATCCCTTTGGCCATACGAGTGGGGGGGGGTTTGCTAGCGATATGGGGTAGTGGGAGGCTGCGGCGATGGGAGCGGGCACACACACACACACATTACATATATTGTATGACAAAGGATACTTATGCATGGACGAATTATAGCCAATCTCGATACAGGCAAGGTGGTTCATTTAGTGGTGCGTCCTCCTGGTGTACAGGCTAATCCACAAAATGGTAATTGTTGGGGGCGAAATGGGTTCCACTATGAATGAGATATTGATTGTGCCCGTTAGATGAGCCTCGTCCACAAACCAGCAATCGACGCACTTACTCACGCGGTATGCCACGATTTCCATTTATGAATGGTGGTTTCCCTATGATGGAAGGATACACATTCATCACTTTGGATGTCGGTGATCGGACCAATCCAGTAAGTGGTTCTTTGTGTGCCATTATCCTCTTTGTGTACTAATCCATCATAGCTATCTTCATTGATGGAAGGATTGACTGGACCACTTAGTGCATTACGGGCCACCAGAGATAGCACTGTAAGTGTGTGTGTGTATAATGATTATGAGAAAGACCAATGCTAACTATCTTGTACAGACTTCCACATCAGCTACCAATAGCACCTCAAACCGTAATCGGGATACGACGCCATCAACCACTGCATTTTCAACCACACTTCCTAGACCACAATTCGAACATCAACATCTTGGATCAAGAAGTTCATCTGATCTCGGCTCCAATAATACAACAGAGAATCGATCATCATCATCAACAACAACACCTAATACCCAATTTCCGGTAAGTGATGAGGAGGGTTTTGGTACAATGATGTAAGGCTGTTAATATGATATGGATTAGGCGTCGGTTGAAGTGCGATTAATGCGAACTATGGGATGTATGCGAAACGTGAGAACGATCCTGGATACTCCAACCAATCAAAGTAAGTGGAACGGTTAAATTGTGAGGGTGATCTTTATTAACGTTGATGCATTTCAGGTATCTCTGGCATTGCAACCACATCCAGCACATCACCTGAAGTGGCTAATGAAATACGAGCAAGACTTCGAGGGAATGGCAATAGTCAAACAGCAGCTGTGGGATTGGTATTGGACGAGCTGGCAACATTAATGACGGATGTCATCCCCCGACTACGAGAGATGTCGAATGCTTTACGAGCTGGTGATCGTGTGGCTAATAGCGAAGTAAGTTTGGAGGGTGTGATGTAAATAATTGTACGATTTACTTACATGTGCTTCTTATAGGAAAACATGAACTTGTATCGACGTGTATTACGCACGGCACGCATTATCCAGGGAATGAGCTTGATTTACCATTTCTTGGGATCCGTCTTAGCTGCTGCTGATATCAGTCCTCGTCGTACCCGAACCAGAACATCCTCGTCTACAACAGCACAACCTGCTCGTTCTGATATAACCACCAACCAACAACAAGCTAACACCAATACACCAACACCCTCTAATACGGACACTACGACGACTACTACGACTACTACATCTACTAGCATAGACCATGATGGGGGATCCGAACAAGAAGCTCGAGGTGTCAAACGTAAGAACGAGGAGGATCACCATAGCAACGCAGATGTCGGGGAAGGATCATCGTCTGATTCACAAGAAAAGAAAGGCAAAGCTCGGAAAGAAAGCGATTAAACCCATTATACCTTGTACATTGGAATAAAGACACATCATCACCATCATGTAAATGCATTACAATTTATTATTATTAAATCATCTTCGTCTATGGTACGAATCATCTCTTGAACGTTTCCTATCGTCATAACGTCGTCGATCATCTCGATCACGTGAATGCCTTTTTCTATCATCATCATCATAATCCCGTTCTCTCTTGCTACGAAAAGCCTCCCCAAGATGATTTTGTTTCCCTTTGCGCTTCTCACGTTCTTGCTGATCAGCCTCAGCTTTGCGTGCTCTTGGATCAATCACAAGATAGTCATCCACCGTTTCACTACGCTGCATCAAATCCTTGCCCTTTCGATCCTTGTCAAAAACAAGCTTGTGAGACATCCATCCTTCGTCCGTTTCCTCCTCGGCATCGTCCTGGGTAGTGTCATAGCATGATTCACAGTTGGGTACTAAATGTAGCTTGCATGGAGGTCGCTCTGGTTTCTTTGCTGATGTAGTCTCAGGCTCTGCAGTTGACAACTTTTTCTGGAATGCAAGCAGCTTTGAAAAGGTCTATTGAAGATGCTTTAGAGAATTGCCCACCATCATCACCTTCATGTCAACTTACATCATCAACATCCTTCTTTTTTCTCTCCTTGACACCGCCAACCTTTGCAACACCTCGCCGAGCATACTTTTCACGTTGTTGTTCAATCAATGAAAGCTTCTTCTTCTTCCCAGTATCACGATCTGCCCATCGACCCTCGATTTCATCCCGTCGATCTCGTTCCATTTTGCGAATGTCTTGCTTAAGCTTCTCGTATTCGGATAAAGGCTCCGATCTAAGTAAATGCTCATTAAAACACCATCTTCTATACACGTATCCCATATCGCTTACTTTGATGGTTGTTGTTCTTCTTCTTGGTGGATTGGTTTCTCTTCTTTGTGCTTCTTTTTGGGTGGTTCCTCTGAAATGGGTTGTTCAGGCTGACGCTTCTCGGGTTGAATAGTTGTCGTAGACTTGTCATCCTTTTCCTCCTTTGGCACAGGCACCTTTTCTTCCTTTGGCACAGGCACAGCCTTATCCTCGGGAAGGAAATCATACGCACTCTTCTTTTTACTCTTCTTTGGTCCTTCCTCGGGCTCCATTTCAGCTGCTTCTTCACCAAACGATAGCAGATTCAATTTCCTAACCATGCCATTAGCCATCCAGCTTTTGGTATAATAAACAAGAGACACTCACTTTTTCTCTTTCTTCTTTTTCTTTTTGGCTTGTTCTTCAGCAGCAGCCTTTTCCATTTCTCGTGCACGTGCCAATTTCTTTTCTCGTTCGGTGATGCGTGGTACGATATCATCAAATGGATTGAGAACGATCTCGGTTGTCTTGACCTTGGGTGGATAAAGCGGCCTCTCGTTCACATCCACTTCCATCTCGCCCATTTGAATAACGTTGTATACAGTGTCACCAACAACCTGAACAAACATTGCTTATAAGAAAAAAAGGATCATGTTGGATATCATCATCTCCAATTCACTTACGCGTCCAAACAGTGTATGGGTCTTGTCAAGCTCGTCAGCACGATCCAACGTAAAGAAAAACTGACTGCCAGCTGTGCCTTCACCAGTATTCGCCATACCAACTAGACCACGTCGGTTGAATCGCAAGCGGGAGTGGTATTCATTGGGGAATTCGTCCTCGTCCTCATAGATCGATTCGCCACCTTATACAAAGCTTTAGTCAATGGACACACACAAATGGCTGATGCTCTTATTACCTTGACCGGTACCAGTGGGATCGCCTCCTTGTACAATGAATCCGGGGACAATGCGGTGGAAAATAGTATTATCATAGTATCCTTCCATGCACAGTTGGATAAAGTTGCGACATGTCTTTGGCGTCTCCTTGCCCCATAGCTCAATCTCAATGTCACCAGCTGTAGTATGCAGAATGACCTTGCCGCTGATCGAGATTGGTGAGTCGTTGAATAAAGCGTTCAATTGAAGAATAAGCTTACTTTGTGTGTGGCTCAAGTGTGTATACACTAGACATGTGTGTGGAAAAGAGGAGAGATTAAAGAAATGACAGCAGGAACTACAGCTGCTGGATACATTAGCACCCGCTTGTTTTTGGGTGGCAACACAGTGCATGATTTCTACACTCCTCCATGGAAACGCAAAGTTGACCAGCTATACCATCTCGCTAAATATGCATGTAAATGATTGCATCCAAAAGCTAGTAACTTTAGTACGAGTATTCTTGATCCATTGATGGTCACTTTACATTGATGCTTGGTCCTGACGCTCCTCTTCATTATGCCTTGAGTTTTTCATTTGGTTGTACTTGAATGATAGTCCAACAGTTGGGAATGGGAAAGTGCATGTGGAAGAGATTATGAACGAACTTCACATATAGTACGCATACTGCTGTATGTATACTGATTGATGTACTCTTTGTTTAAGCATAGCTCAGTCAAATCAACTCGGGTCAAGGCAATTGAATCATGGAAGTAAATCTTTGGAGCAGGAGCATTATTCCCATGCATTGGAATAGACAACAACTGTGATTGGGAGGAAGTAGTTATCAGCTGCTAATGGTGACTTCTCGCTAGATAGTCTATAAAGTATCATCCATTGATCCTTCCAGACATGCAAATGGGCTGTGTTACACAAACACAACCCTCTGTATCTTTGGCTCTATCAGGGTCCAGTTACATGACAATGTACAAAGACCATCTTTCATATAGCATCATACATAGAGCATATGCAAAACATAAAGACGCCTGTATCTCCGAACTTTACAATCAAACGTATGCTTTTTATTAGAGCAATGTGCTCGGCTTGGCCAACTGCACCTTGGGTGCCAGTTTCACGATCAAGCTTGCCAATCCCAGATTTCGCAATGTCGCCACCAACCAAACTGGATCTGGGGGTCGACCTCTTCGACGACGACGACCCAAAAAATATTTTTTGGGCTAGTTGCGACATTGAACGTGAAACTTTCACACAAGGTGCTGTTGGCCAAGCCGAGCCCATTGCTCTATTCAAAACCCCACGTTGCATTGTAAAGTTTGGAGACACAGGCACCTTTACGTTTGTAAGCGTGATGCTATATAAAGAGTGGTCTTTGTTCATTGTCAAGTAGGTGGACCCTGGCAGAGCAAAAGATGCAGAGGGTCGTGTTGTGTAACACAGCTACGTTTGCATGAATGAAAGGGTCAATGTATAATTACTTTATAGATCATCTAGGAACAGGCATGTATTGCTAGCTAACGGCCACTTTTATCCAATCATCATTGTTGCGAGATCCACTGCATGGGAACGATGCCCCTGCTCCAGACATTCATTTCCATGATTAAAGTAGGTTGATCCGAGCTGATTTGACTGAGCTGCGGTCAAAGAGAGATTACATCACTCTGGACATAGAGCACGCTCGATGTAGCTCAACCGATGTAATCTTGTGTGAGCGTAACTCAACCAAATCAGCTCGGATCAACCTACTTTAATCATGGAAATGAATGTCTAGAGCAGGAGCATCGTCCACCTACAATAGAATGCACAAAAGTTGGGAATGCACAAAAGTGGCTATTAGCTGCCAATGTATGACATCAAAGTGAGGGTTGCGTACCTTTCATGCATTGTCCCTGAAGTCCTGACTTTTTAGCTGAGTTACCCAAAGAGGTCCTTCTGCATCTTTGGCTCTCCAGGGTCTAGCTACTTGGCAATGAACAAAGATCACTTCTCATATAGCATCACGCTTACAAACATAAAGGTGCCTGTATCCCTAAACTTTACAATCAAACGTGGGGTTTTTATTAGAGCAATGGGCTCGGCTTGACCAACTGCACCATGGGTGCCAGTTTCACGATCAAGCTTGCCAATCCCAGATTTCGCAATGTCGCCACCAGCCAAACTGGATCTGGGGGTCGACCTCTTCGACGACGACGACCAAAAAATATTTTTTGGGCTGTTTGCGACATTGAACGTGAAACTTTCACACAAGGTGCTGTTGGCCAAGCCGAGCACATTGCTCTATTCAAAACCCCACGTTGCATTGTAAAGTTTGGAGATACAGGCACCTTTATGTTTGTAAGCGTGATGCCATATGAGAAGTGGTCTTTGTTTAATGTAAAGTAGCTAGACCCTGACAGAGCAAAAGATGCAGAGGGTCGTGTTGTGTAACACAGCTACGTTTGCATGAATGAAAGGGGCAATGTATGATATCCAGTAACAGCTCATCATTGGCAGCTAATAGCCATTTCCTCCCATTTCCAACTTTTGTTCATTGTATGACATGTGAACAATTCCCCTGCTCTAGACATTCATTTCCATCATTCAAGTTTCTTGATCCGAGCCGATTTGACTGAGCTACGCCAAAACAGCAAACATGAAAATACTTGGAAGACAGACCCTGCGAATGTCTCCGTCTTTCAAACTTTTGGCCGCTCCCATTCCAAATTTTCAAATGAAGCATGAAGTCTTTATTAGAAAAAGTTGATCAGCATGCTCGAGAGCACCCTTCTGACTAATTTTCAAGTTGGAGGTGGGCAACTTCGGGGCGGTGGGCCGTCCACTCTTTTGTTGCCGTCATCCACCATTTGGGCCGCCCCCCGCATTTTAAAACTTCACAATGAAGTCTGCGTCTTTTAAATGAATGAAGTTGATCAGCATGTCCCAGCAAACCTTCTGACAAAGTTTCAGGTTCGAAATGGGGAATCCCAAGATAATACATAGTATTTACATAAATCATGAATCCGGGGCTGTCCTCCATTTCCGACTTACATAGTAAACCCACATTGCACCCTCCCATTCCAAATTTTTCAAATGTACATGATGTCTTTTTTAATACAACATTGATCAGCATGTCCAAGAGCACCTTGTGTGAAAGTTTGAGGTTCGAAGGGGGAAATCTCAACATCAAGGTTTGATGTACAGTGTTCATGCATTTATACAAGAGGTGTCCGACCTCTTTAATTTCCCACTCCTTCCACTCCCACAACCTCTTGTCTCTAGCACTGTGCCCCATTCAAGTCTACAACTACCACCTGCAAACGATTGTCCTGCTTCAACCCACCATGTCAACCCTACAACTCTCTTTATCCAATCGTCTTTGACTGAATGGCAAGTCCATGGCGTGTGCACCCCACGGCAACACGCGCGCTTCACTACACCTCTTGTACACCCCTCTCCCACGACCAATCGTAACAGCATTCATTGCAGCAATTGCATTAGCAAGGCCTTTACTTCATTGTCCCTAACAGCGTTCTTTACTTGCAGCAACTTGCCTTACAGACTTGTTCACGTGAACAGCAGATAGCCATTGTATAGAAGCAGCTTTATTTACGCGTAGCAACATTGTTCAATACATACGACTTCTTGTTGATATAGATATGGATCTGAATAATGGTTTGGTGTATGGGATGGAAGGAATCGGATATACACAACGCATTGAGAACGTGATGTCTACTTTGGATGACACCATATCAGCCATCAATACAAGCAATCTTCAGCTGGTTGAGCTGCAATCGAGCATGATCAACAAAGAGAGAGTGGCCGAGGATCGGATGGAAAAGGAGGCATATCAACAGCAATCACTCGGGCTCCTTTCTACCAACATGCTGGATTTGGATTGGTGATGGTGGATGGATGGGTGGATGCAATGAGAAACATGGTGATTACTTATCACGTTGTCAGAAGGGATGGATCATATCATGTGGATACGGCTGAAGATGATGATGGATGGGATGGAATTGACGAAAGGTGTTGGTATTGGAATACTCGAGTTAATGCACACAGCAGCTATTTCCAATCATGAATGAAGGATGTTTATGGCGGCAGCAACCAAGAATACAATGAAACATCCCCTGCTTCCTCTATATGATACACTGCCCATATCGTTTTCAAATTGCAATGCTGTTCCTGTATCGTATTTACTTCATAAACATTCACACTACAATATGCTATTCTTCGACTTTCATTGAATGATGGAATTGGATTGAACATTTATGTATAAGGGTATTGTGCTATCAACCTGTATATGCAAGATGTGGATCACTTGGTTGGCTTCTGGGTTGAGGGGAGAGGGATAGAAACGTGAAAGTTGGAAAGAGGGATCAGATCATTTGTATCATCGTATGTATCATTCGCTAAAGGTTCATAGTTCGCATGCTAAAGCGACAAAGATTGATTAAAGCATCATCGTGCTTTATGCTGTTGAGCTTTATCAGGAACAAGGTATGTATGAAATGCATTCATCATGGTCCCGCGGTGATTGTCGTTGCCATGGTTATCATGCATTACATAATCGGAGGATACAGCAAACCAAGTAGCAAAGAAAATAGCATCGTAAATGATGACGCTTTCTCGGCGAATAGGAGTTTCGAAGATGGGATGGTCTAGGAAAATATGGCTGGGTGCTCGGATCAAGGGTGCACAGATCTCGAACAGAGGCAAAATGACCGCCGGCTGAGATTCATCTTTGAACCAAGAGCCAAGTATAATGACTCTAATGGTGTTTGTAAAAGTAGGCCATATAGCAGATGACAAGCAAACATTCCTTTGAAGGTATAGGTCGTATTAGGTAAAGATATAGATGATATAACGATGGTACCACGTGATGCAAATTGACATAGTATGATTGTGTGGTGGCTGCAAAGCTGAAAGATCGAGGTGGTTGTTCCACGTGGAAAGATCTTTGCGTCTACCCGCCATATCCCGCCACGAATATACCACATGTATTCATTGCCTTTTGATATGATACATGCATTTCAATTAGACAATGTGTAATCTTGGTCATCAAAACGTCGGGAACCAAGCGATCCCGGTAAAGATGTATACTTAAGATTGCCGTGTGTACGTGTGCATGTGCCACAGCGAGCAAAAGGAATGAGGAGAAAAAATGGTAGCTGGCTGGGAACGCCGCATTACCAAATCAGTCGCACCTTTAACATCCCTCCGAGAAGATATAGACATCATGTAGTTAGCCACAGCAAGCAAAAAAATGATTGAACGTGAGATAATTCATGCCGTACATGTTGTGTTTTCAGAAGCAGTGATGTAAGTGTACATGTAGAGCGAGCTTTTCCGAATGAATCACATTGACGCAACGACCATTGGATCCAGATATTGGGATTTAGCAACCCATAGCAACCCATAGGATCCCTTCCTCGCTTGTTCGCATATAAGACCGATAGGCAACTTAACAAGGTTTGGTGGTTTTGGTTTTATGGATGTTTGGATTGTTCAAGGTTGTCAAAAATAACGTTGCCTTGACTACAAAAGAGTATAACTTATACGAAACCGCCTCATGTTTTAACCTTCAATCCTCACTTATCGGGCTTATACGGAGCAAATCGGGTTGCTGGATGTGCCTCCGAGGAAAGAAAAGCACCAAAAAATGAAGGTGTGTGAGTGTGGATGTTGATTGGGGCAGGATAGCTTCAAGATGAATGAAAGATGTGAAATGTGAATGGTATTGGGATGTGCCATATTGGGCGTAAGGCAAGTAGTTGGGTGATGATTGCCGTGTGAAAAATCATTCTTGTGGCTGTGGATATGAAGAACAAAATCAATCATCTTTCCGATCATGCGGGGTGCACAAATGTGAGGAGATAGGCAAAATGGGTGTTACTAAGCAAGGTCCCTTTGGTCCCTACGAGCTCACCCAAATATGTAAATGGGAATTTGCTTAGCATTCCCGCCCAATCCCCTGCTTGATTTCTCCCATCAGCAACACCATACCCAACATACCCATTCCCATCATCTATCCTCATACAGACATTTCAAATGCACATGCACAGGTGCGTGGAAATTTTCCTCACATGCCACTTTCCATCATTCACAGCTTGTGTGTAAAGCAACCAGCTTTTCTCCGTTACGTAATGCAAAGAATCTCGCACACTACATTCACAGACACCGGGACCCTGGCGACCCTACTTGCTCAAAACATCGGGTTTATTATATGATACACCTGTGATCAGGTCACCTTTTCCTCTAAAGATTTCCTTGATTGTATTATCGTGCACGCTGTATCCCAACCAATTAAGGAACTACCCAATGCTGATACACCACATAGGTGTGGGAACTGAAAGGCTGCATTATACAATGATAACGGGAAGAATGAGCAATGTGATACCTTCATGCAGTGTTTAGTATATTGACATCAAGCCAACCTAACCCAAGCTAATCTATTCCAAACGCTCAAAAATGGGTACAAACGGCGGTAAGGGGAAGAGGCGGGGAAGCAATGCATGTGATTACCCGATAAAAAGTAGTGCGGGGTAAAAGTGTGTGTGTGTGGAGCATCTTGGGGATATAGGTCCCACTTTTACAAGGTGCACTAATGATTGGATACCATCACTCATTCTGTGTTATCAAACAAAAATAGCAGATTGGTCACTTTCATCATAACAGACCTGTCTTTCCACCTTTCTTTCTCTTCTCTTCCCCGCTTCTTTTTCTTCTCCTCTCAAAACCCATACACTTTCACCCCTCTCTTTTCCACGCGATGTCCACTGAAAGCACATTTCCATCACCCGAGTCAAGCAGGTCAATGTCACGAGGCACATCATCAGGCACACTTGAAGGCATCTTGCAGCAATACAGCCAAAAGCCTGAATTGCTTGAGCTTATCCTTATGAGCAAAGTACAAGAAGATCGTCGTAGAGCTGAAGAGGCTAAGCTGCGAAGTAAAGAAATCGATTATGTATTGCAACGAGATCGAGACAGAGAGCAGGCATCATCATCGTCATCGTATCAACACCGCCATTCGTTGCCATCGCTACTTTCGATTATGGATCCATCCAAGTTGAGCTCTTCTCCTCCATTGACAAACTCGTCGTTGGGTTCACCCAGATCGGTTCCCGAACCCGATCGCAGCTATCCTTCTTCCGCGGAAACGTTTAGTAATAAAGATGCACCTCCACCACCTCCACCTCCACCATCACAACAACAGCAGCGGGAGTCACCATCCATCAGCTATCATTCGACTCTTTTACATCCTACCATTGTTCATCAACAACATCAAGCATCACCTCCATCATCATCATCTGCAAATCATCAGCAGCAACGATCACCGCTTTTATTGCCATCATTGATGGACAGTTACCCACACCATTCACATCAACAACGCAGGTCGTCTTTACCACCACCTCCTCCCCCAGCAGCTCCTTCATCTTCATCAACACCACCAAAGACACAACATCCACCTATAGAGCCTATGAGCAACATGTACAGCCGTAAAAGGTACGTTAAAGAAAAGTAATTGTGCCTTGCTTGAGTATTGCTTGCTCACTTTACATGTAAACTTGTTTTTTTTTTACAGGCCCGCTTTCAATGGTAAGTGTGTTTGTGTGTGCTATAACATCAAAAGATGAGATCGCACTAACGCCATGATCTATTCTTGCTCCTATAGAATCCGAGCCAGCATCATCATTAGATCATCATCATGCTACCAACAACACTACTCCACCATTGACCACAGCAGCATCTAAAAGCAAAAGCAATACGACAACATACCATTATTACTATGAATCAACGTTGATGCCCGTTAAAAATAAGACGTCGACACCCACACAACCACAACCACAACCACAACAGCCATCAGCACCTCAACCACCTCCTTCTAATAAGGTGCCAATACCACCGATGCCTATGTCACATACACACATTATGAATGCGAAGAATACCAACAATCTTCATAACCGACAAATGAACCACAGCAATAAACGTCGTCGACGGGAGATGCAGGCCATCACCATGATCATCGAAACTCGGGAGTTTCCTTACAACGACGACTATCTTTGGAAGAACAATGGCAACACCATTCACAAAGGATCAGGCAACAAAAGCATTTATTACAAGTGTGCCAATAACCCAAAGGTACGCTTTACTCACTTGCCTATATGTAACCCCTTATCTCACATTGAATCATGCATGTTGATAATAATAGGGATGTCCTGTGAATAAGACTGTTACCTTCAAAGACAATGGCGAATACCTCATCAAGTACCGTGGCAAGCATCTTAGTGATTGCAGCCGTATTAAGCGTGTGGTCGATGTATAATAGTTTGTAAATTCCACGTTGTTACATGTATATTCTTTATAAAGATGGGTCAACAACCGCAAGCACAATCGGGCGCTTGCAACAACATCTCAACCCAGGATGTCATCACTTTCAGATTTTCTTCTACAACTACTACTACTACAAGATGGTGGTGGCGGCGGTGGTGTGTGTGAGAAAGATATACCATATCAACCCATCAAGACACTCACCATCTAACCTGATTTTTGCCATCGCGGTATTAATGTTGTTGGATAAATCCGGGAGAAAACACTAACATCTTTTGCTGATGGACGTAATACCACGTTGTCGCACAATGCAAGAACGAAAATAGAAGCCAACATATGGGTCAAGTCAGACAAAAAAGATGATCAAGAAGCCATGGTAGTAAGAAAATACCACGACAATCAACTTTTGTTTCCACATGTGTACCAATGAACATTACCAATGAACCTCGTTTCTTGTTCAAAAGGAAATACCATACCCAATGATTGTGTTCCCCGATATGGAGCCCCACATGGATAGTGATGACAGCGTGAAAAACGAGGCGCACGTATCAGATGAGCTGATTCATCAAATATCCGTCACACCTATCATCCCGGACATACATGCCATCGATTGCTCATCGATAAAGATGGCGAGATTATCGAGCTAGTTATTATAACCCAGCCTTAATAATGCCATAGTTCAAGCATTAGTAGTCATGTCATGTTTGATGCCAATAATAACCCATGGAGATGAATTACCCTTCCAGCTAGCCCAATGACATGGTCCCAATTCATAGTGTGGTACTGTACACAAGGCGTGTCATGCATTTGGGTTTTTACATCATGTCACTTGCTGGATAGCATACGCATTATTATCATGCCAGCTTAGATGCACCAGCCGCATAATGAAGTTGTATATGGAAGGATCAACCGTGTCATACAGCAATGGCTCTAAATGCTTCCTTGATGGTGTTGGGTGGTATAGTTTGGAGCTCGCATCAAAATAGGCAATGTATGGATTATGCAACAACAACCATTATCATTATTCAATTCCACAGCGTTGGATAATACACCAAACATTCCATGATGCATAACGCTGAGGTAATATGAACCAACATGATACTATTATTAAAGTGCTGCATAAATGATGATATCGTCAACTCGAATAGAAAGCCATATACGATTCCCCATGGGCTAAGTCACGTGGATGCCATCAACCGAGTCTTTGGGTTGCTGTATTACCTACCAGATTTGTGGTTGTGCTGTGATTGTTTCACCCAATGCTAGACATCCCTCAGGGTACAAAGTGTTTACAGAATGCATCGCTCGAAATCAAATATGCAAAGGTAAAAAAGGGTAAACAAAGAGGGATCTACATGATTGCTCGCATAAGCGTGCATATCTTTCTATCCCGAGAGTAGATAGTGTATCAACAATAGCATGTTTTGAAGGAGGGCGTGTGATTGTGTAAGCATCATCCTTGCCAAATACCGGTAGGAAGGTATGACATTGAGGAGAAAAAGCGTTTAATGAACCTGTATTGAGAGGGAAAGGATCAACAAATGAACTAAAGGGAATTGTGCTATCAGGAGTCGAGATTGGCACTATCAGCTCCTCTTAATAAGGAAGGAGGTTATTGTGGAGAGGTCAAGTTTGACGGTGGTCATTACTGCTGCTGAATGAGTATAGGCAATTATTCCATCTTGATCTATTCCTCCTTGTTAGACGCAAGCGAGGAAAGTCGTTAGCTTCAAATCTTGATGCAGCTGAGCATTTTCAATCGGAGCCATCGTCTTGAATGATACTATGCACGTGTAGTAAAGTAATCATGGTGACCAAGGCATCCATTACACTGCCAAGGATGAAAGATACATGCATCAAATCACTCTTTTCAATAGTAACATTCTTAATCATTCATCGAGAAATGAATTGAACTACCCACAATGGATTAAACGACATCAAGTAAAGGGTGATGGGCATAAACCTAATATGGCAAGCTTTTGCTGGTAACAAAAAAAACCACTCGCCTGAAAGGTGTATATGCACGGCACAACAACTATACGACGCCGTACGTCTTTCTTTTTCTTTCCCTCTCTCTCTCTCTTACACACGTTCTCCTTTTCTCCCTCTTTCCTTTCCTTTCCTTTTATAACACTCCACACATTCTGATGGTCATTGGAGAATGAGCAAGGTAATGTCAAGGGAAGGGTGTGAAGAATAAGGTCCAAAGTGTAACCGTTGAATCTCTTGCAGCCATCGACTTCCTCAACGACCAACAATCGACCACCACTCAATTATAAGCTTAAAGACAATCCTTTCTTTGCCAACCGAAATGACGCGAAACCACCTTTGGGCAATATTAATAAGACGACTGTGACACGAACGGAGACGTCAAAAGACAGCAGTAATGGCCTTGGCAGCCGTTTTCCCAAACCATCGACAACACCACCTGAATCGAGAAAGAATGTGCGAGCATCAATTCAAAAGATGGCGGCATCCAGCAACGTTTCAGCCAATCCATGGAAGTCAAAGATGAATGTGAGTCAAGGCACCACTTCCAAATCATCCAATACGGCTACCACTACGACTGCAAGCAGCAATGTTGATAACACCATCAAAAACTCAGCTTCCACTACTACAACAACGACCTCTACGATCAAACCACAACCTAAGCTATCGAAATCGACATCGTCCACCACATCCAAAGAGATCAAATCCGATGATACTATCAACAAACCCGATCCTATCGACAATGCAGGCAACACTCAGACCACTATCATGAGGCGTGCATCTCGCAAAAAGTCACCCACTACATCAACATCATCTAGCAGCATTGATTCTGTGCAAATACAGCAGCCAATTAAGGAGGAGAATTCAACAAGCAAGGTTGCTGGTGCTGCGTCTGATTCGATTACAAAGAAACCCAGCACAATGGATGAATCGACAATGAATGGGAAGATTACAAAGAAAGTCGCAGGAGATGCAAAGAGCATTAAGCAGACGACAACAGCAACGGCAATTCAATCACCATTACGACCTACGAGTTCAAGCACGGATTTCAGTCGAGCCAGCTTTAACAGCTTTAGTGGAAGCGGCAGCATTACGAGTAGCAACGACGATGGATATCACGAAGAAATGTTTGAACAATCATCTACCCACAATAGCAACAAGAAACGGTTGACAGCTTTTGGTGCACCGTTGCCATGGGGACAATATGCAGTGATGGATGATGATGATGATGATGACGACATGAGGAAAAAGGAGGAATGGTCATTGTTATCATCAGGTACCATGGAGGCTGTTGACCAGCTTGTAGCGACTCATGCACATATCACGTCCGCCAAGTTCCCTACGATGAGTATTACTGATGCAGAAAATATGCGACAGGTAATGAAAGTGGTGATGACGTTGCCATGCATTGTTGATTGACATTGAAAAAAAAATCACTTAGAGACACGAACGTTTGAAGACATCAGGAGAACACATTCGTCATCGGATTCACGTGGAGACTGATATTCAACGATCCATCGCATCCTTACTCAAACTTGCAACACACAGCAAAGACATTGGCCTTGTTGATAACATGTATTCGTCCACCCTTGATATTGATACAATGATTGATGAGCTGCACCTTATCCTTTCACAAGCATGTGATTGCCAAACACGTTATTTGCAGCATCTTGCCGGTGCACTTGCCAAAGACCATTCGATCCAACAACGACCACAGACCAATCATGGTGTCGCACAAAAAGATATTACACGGCTCGAGCACATGGTGAAGCAATATGCAGCTGAAATCGAGTGGCGTGGTGGTGATGTGCAGCAAATGTTGGATGTTTTGGAAAAGCGATTACAACAACAACATGAGGGTGGTCGTGTACAGGATTTGCAGGATGCTTTACAACGTGCACGACGTGATCGAGATAACCAAATTCAGTTATTGGAAAAGGAGCTGCAGCAAGCAAAACGAAGAGAGCATGAGTTATTGAAAAAACAACAACAACAGCCACCACCACCACCACCAGCTGCTGCTTCTACCGCTGAATTGGATGAATTGAAGGATGCTTTGGAACAAGCCAAACAACGAGAGAAAGAGTTACGAGCACAATCAACACAAATGCAAAAACAGCTGCAAGATGAGCTTAAACGTGCCAAGGAAACTGAACGTGATCTTCGTACGCAGATGGAGCTTCCAGCAGCGCAAATTCAACAACTCAAAGATGAATTAGCTCAATGTGAGGAAAAGTTGCGTCAAATGATGATCGATAAGGAGCAACAACAGCAAAATGATACGACTGAAGAAAGAATACAACGTGTGCAACAGCAACTCGACATGTCTAGGAAACACGAAGTGGAATTGCAGAAGCAGCTGGATGACCGCGTGTCACTCGAGCACCAGATCAGCCAAGCTTTGGTCGCAACCTCGTGCCAATCGCTGGACGATATGGTGCACAAGATTATAGATAACAACAACAACAACCCATCACTATCATCATCACAACAACAGCAACAGCAACAACCACTCTCTGATATTGAAAAAGCTTTCAAGGCAGCACAAGAAGAATATACACGACGAGAAGCAGCCCTCATGTTACAAACGGCTAGTGTGGAAGCTGAGCTCGGCGCTGTGTTGAAGGAATACGATCGAGTGACACGTAACATTACCGATTTCAACCACGAGCGCAAAAAGTATGAGAGCCAAGTGGAGACATTGATAAGGGAAAAGCAGCTTCTTGATAAGCAGTTGGCCGATAAGCAAGTACAAGAAGGGATTGGACGTGATGGACAAACAATGACGTTACGAAAGGAGTTCCGGCAGCTGATGGCCACAGTGAAAGCGGAGCACGAGCAAGCCATGGATAAGGAAGTGGAGCGACGACGACAAGTGGAAGTGGAGCTACGCAACATCAAACACGACTTGGAAATGAAAAATTGGGATCGGGTCAGTGCTGGTGTCCAAACCCATTTTGTCGCTTATCCTCTGTAACATCACCCCATTCTTCATTCTTCATCATCATCATCATCATCTTGTTCTACCATTACTTAGTAATAGTCCCTTTTTCACCCTACATTTATAGCACTTGTACATTTGTAATTCGGAGATGTTTTAAAAGAAACACCATTTCAACAACAGTATATTAGTAGTGGCGGCTGTTTTTTGATCGCCCGAAGTCCAATGACGCTATAGAGAACACGCTGTGTGTATGGGGGACAAGGGACGTTGAAAACAAGGTTTGAACGAGTCCCGTTTACCCAAAATAGTAGCATGCCGGGGTGGTCTTATCTGTTAGCATATTGTTATCGTTGTTGTGTTTCAACATGAAAGCAACATCCCCCTTATCAGCATGCTATTCTTTTTACATGAGATAGCATGGGATGATTTACATGGGTTATGCTCATTTTACAACACATTGTTGTCATTTACATGTAAACCAACCAAGGATCTGGGAATACGGACGTTATCATGATGGAAGTGACGAAAATTCAAGATCCGTAAGTGATAAAAAATATAGACTGCAAGGCCATTGGCTGGCGATTATAATGAAAGCGGATCTGGGCTTCACTTGTGGTGGATGATGTGCACCACAAAGATGATAAAGGGGTATAGAAATTTACGGAAAACGGGGGAGAAAGAAGATTATAGTTTTCCGTGACACTTTGGATGGTGTATGGTGTGTTGGGTGATGGAAACAAAAGCCGTATGGAGCGACATGGAACGTGTGCGGGGAGCGTGTGAAAGTTGAGTCTGATGATGTACTTTTATTGGCCGATAAAAAAGATCAATCGTAATCTGTCGGTGCAGGTGTTCTCCTTCTAGTCTCCCTCTTTCTTATCTTCCACAAACACCAAAACTCACTACTCAATACTCTGATCCCCTTTTCTTATCTTTCCTTCACTCACCCATTCACACACCCACATCCACATCCAATGGCTTTGTTGACACAACCACCCACTAAGCTTGCTAAGCAACCTTCTTGCTCGCATGCTACCGAAGATGGGACACCTTGTCAACCATGTCGTGCAGCAGCAGCAGCAGCAGCAGCAGCTACTGTGGCTGTCGATGATAAGAAACAACAACAACCACCTCCTCAAGATGCTGTTTGTGCCAACTGTCAAACAACCACCACACCTTTATGGCGTCGTGATGCTGCAGGAAAGACTATTTGTAATGCTTGTGGATTATACTACAAGCTTCATCATGTGCATCGACCTGCTACCATGATGCGCACAGTGATCAAACGTCGAAAGCGATGCTCAACAGGCGGCAATGCTGATAAGAAGCAACAATCATCATTGTCATCCGATAAGCGACGTAAGCGTGTTCATCATAATAACAACAACAACAATAATACATCACCACCTCTTGAAGAAGAAAGCGATTCATCTACGAGTAGTGTGGGATCGCGATCACCTTCATGGCATCCTGTGCAATCGCCACCAACATCCGCTACATCATCACCCTCACCAAACATTGTCTTGCCGCCTATCCATGCGCCGCTTCATCATCCTCATCACCATGTTCCAGTGGGGACCCATGATAATCAAGATATCAAGATTAAGACTGTGCTTCCACCACTCATCTTTGATCAACATCATCACCACCATCCAAAAGCTGTATCACCTCATCATCACCCGTTACATGGTCAATCGACCGAAGACCTTAAGCAACAACGACAAGAACTTCAAAATCGAGTCACTCGATTATCATCACTGTTGCAAGAGACAGTGTCTATGCTATCAAAAATCGATGCTGCATTAGCTGACCCAACAACCAACACCCCGGCAACATCGCCAAAGAGTACCATGTGCCCACCTGATCAGGAGCAAGAAATTGCGAGATCTCTCTTATCACTGGCTTCCGCGGCACCTACAAGCAACAACACCCCGGCAACTTCATTACCGCCCACTACACCGCCACCCGCAGTATCAATCGCTTCCAGACCACCTTCATCGGAACCCACTCCTCATCTTCCACCTATCGCTTTACCAACGGCTTATCGTCCATGAAACAAACATTCTCACACAAACAATAACATGCATCATGTCTCTTTTTTCATACCCACATTTTTCACTCTTACTCACTCACTCACTCACACTCTCTCACTCTTTCTTTTATTGCTCGTGCATCATCCTCCTCCTCATGTATATCATTTTTCACACACACGCAACACGCTCTACTTTTCAGCTTTATTTACCCACCCCACCCCTCTCCCTTATCATGTTTCTTGTACAACCCATTTGTTCATATCTTTTCTTCATCCTCTCTATTACAATGTCTTATGTCAAATATATATTGCAATCATGGGCGAGTATGACATGTGCTTGCTTGATAATAATTTTGTGTATGTGTGTATGGTGTGATGATTGTTGACATGTGTAAAATTCTAGAAACATCATTTGTGTGCGAGAGAAAGGGTATCCGCGGGATCGTCCATTATCGTGTGGATAAGATTCAATATCAGATCATGGTATTATTTGGACTTGTTCTCTTTGTTTCCCTCCTCCCCCCTTTTTATCTCCATTGCTTTCCATAAAAGGGGACCGTGGTAGGTTTTAATCCAACGTCGTCATACGGCATTGTGCGTTGTGTGTGTATATTTTTCTTTTCTGCATATACTGATGATGGGATGATTATATCTCTCTTGGTGGTTGGGGGATTGTTTTGCGCATAAAAGAGATGAAGAGTGTGTATGTAAACATTAGCATAAGGTGTAGATAGGTAGGTAGGTAGGTAGACAATAAAGAAAACATATATCAAAATGATGCAAACAAAGATGATGGATCCTCTGTCATGGCTGCTGCTGCTGCCGCTGCTGTTGACGTTGTTGACAGAGCAGGTGCATTGTTATCGTGATGCATAGCCATGGTACTTTCAGCTGTTGTCGGGGTGGCACCTCCACCACCACCACTACCGGAAGTAGGTAACAAATCAAGCGGGGTAGCCATTTTGTTGTCCTGATAAGGATGATGATGATGGTGATGATGTTGTGGATCAAACATGCTGAGATCATCTAAAAGACGAAAAGTGTTGTGTTGCTGCTGATGTTGTAACGATGAATCGGCAGCGGCAAAATCAAGCGATGAATCTGGCTCGGTGGATGCACAGCTTGATAATTCAGCTGCATCATCCATAGGTGTAGGGCATGCTGGTCTTTTGCATGGTGATTTTTTGCCCTGCAGTTTATCCTCCTTTGATTTGATCTGCATCCATCGAGTACGACATTGTCTCTAAAAACACGATAACATGAGTCGCCGTTGCTATGATACCACGTTGCTATGGATATGAATACCTGTGTACGACCAGGCACCGTTTCAGCAATACGTATCCAACATCGGCCAAATTTATCAACGCCGGCACGTAATAAAGCATCTTCAGCTTCACTCCATTTCCCTTTACGAACGGATGGATCTAAGGCTTCAGTCCACCGAGCTTGACATTGGATACCGGTGCGGTTAGGAATGCGTTCAGCAATCCTATTCCATGGAATTGGTTGGAAACCACCTTCACCATCAGGAATGCCGGCAAACTCCATATACGCATACCGCAATACGGCATCCTCATGTTCGGTCCAGCGACCTTTATGGATATTGGGACTATGAAAAAGATAAACGTCAACAAGGTACATGGCATGTGTGTGACTCCAAACATACTTTAATGCACCCAGCCATCGTGTAGAGCATTGCATAGGGGTACGGTTGGGCACGTGCGATGCGATCAATGACCATTTATGTGGTCCATGAAGAGCAACTGCTTGACGTAGCAATTCATCTTCTTCTGGTGTCCATCGGGTATAGGTGGATGATTTGCGATTGGCACGTTTGCTTCGTAAAGGTGAATGCTGAACAAAGCTTTTACGTATCATGGGAGTGGATCGAGGTGGTTGTCGTATATCATCGGTGATAAATTGTTGCGACCGTGTGGGTGAAGGGGTCACCTTTTGTCATTTGAATGAGAATAGGCAATAAGAAAAGCATTCATGTACACTTACGGGTGGTGGTGGATAAGATGTCAAACCACCACAATGCCATTGGGGTGAAGGATCCATCCAAAAATCAGCAGGTGTGTTGACCAGCATGGCCGATGAGGATGCAAATATCAGTGGATCTTGTTGCTACAAAGAAAACATGTCAGCGGCATCCACAAACAATGGCATCTCCTTCACGTCGTACCATCACTGATTGTGCATAAGATCGTTGCTTGCTTTGGTCTAGATGAAACAGGTCTTGATATAACTGCTATGAGATAAAAGAATATCCCACATCAGCGTTCCATCCTAGCCTTTTGCACAGGCATACAGTGTCCTTTTATACACGTCCCCTGGTTTTCACACATTCGCACATACACACACACAAAAAACCAACCTCCTTGCTCACATGTGCGCGCGCTTTTTTCTCTCTTTTTACACACCCCCGTGTATGTCCCTTAACACATACCTCATTTGCCATTAATGCATCCCATGCCTCTCCGGTGCCGTCGGTATGGTTGTTCGTTGGTGGATATGCCATTGGTATCTTTTACTGCGACAAGAAACGAAATCGATGAAGGGTATGTACGTTTGTGTGTGTGTGTGTGTGTGTTGCTTGCTGTGTCAGTGCTATGTAATCGATGAAGGATTGCTCTGAAAGGTGATGGGTATGTGAATTTGGAAGAGAGCACCAATTTCAGTTACGGAGGTTTTTTTTTGGATCGTGGTTTCGTTTGTGTATTTGGTTTTCATGCTTTGCAAAGAATGAGAAGAGAAAAGGACGAGGTACGACAGGGGGTGGCAAAAAGAAAGAAAACAACAGTTCTACATGTAACCCCTTTCACATTTTTCACTTGGTTTCCATTTTTCTTGCCTTGATCAAATAAATTAGGTGGGGTTGTTGTTTTATGTAGGAAGAGAGAAAGAAAGAAATACATATACTATCTACTTATTAGAGGATTCCCTATATAAAAGACCCCATATTAGATATCATCTTGCAGGATGATGCGATAACCAACCAACTCAACATACCTGGGAGTAATATTGATAAGTGTCGTAAAGGCGTGTAAACACATTGCAGCAGCTGCTCATAATCATCTTGTCAACAAATTCTTCTGCCTGAGGCTCCGTCAGTTGTAAATGGAAACGATCTCTAAGCTGCTGCACGGTCTGTTCGCCGTTTTGGAAGCATGGTAGTTTGTTGTCCTTGCACATCATCTCTACCAATAAGATGATGTTCTCGCAATGTTTTCGTACAGCAAGGAAAGCCGCCTTCATCAATGCCTTGTATTCTGCAAACTTCTCGCCATGGACACCACCCATCAAGTCAATGTATTCTTGGGGAAGCTTGAAGGGCGCCATTTCAAAGCCAACAGATCCAGGGGAATTGGAGAGGAAGAATCCAAAGTCAATGTCTGTGATGTGTGTGTGAATGCATACATGTATAAGCTCACAACCTGTCATCATCATCAACCCTGCATAAAATGCACTTACGAATCAGGTGACCCTCGTTGTCAATGAGAATGTTGCCGTTGTGTCGATCTTTGATTTGTAAGATATAACATGCGATCGAGTATCCAGCCAAGCTTCTCATAAACGCGTCCTGCGCCTTTATGTACTCGTCAGATGTAGGTGGGCCAAAGTGCTACGTGTGTATCCATACAATATCAGCATTCAGCAAATCCCCCATATCACCACCACTCCTTACCCTTTCATAGTACTCGCCAAGAGTATATACAGTGCCTTTGGTATTCCACCCCCGGGTATATGCTTCCTTTTTGATGGAGTGAATGGAAATAGTATTTCGAATCGTCTCAATCAATCCTGAGCTGTCAGATGTCACCAACACTCGGAAACTATAAGGAGGGAGATTACCTTGATAAGCAACTCTTGTGTGTGTGTGTGTGCGGGAAATCGTCCTTGTATAATAACTTACTATTTCACCCAGACATCTACACCAGTGTCTTCCCAAATCCTTTGCATTTCACGTATCAATTGGACTGCAAATTGCTCTTGTCGTAAATCGGATCCATGCTTCACAATGACTGATAATAGTCGCCAATTGGGAAGATGTCCATAGGGTGATGATGCTCGAATCCTTGCCTTTTTCACCTCCCAATCTTCGGAAAACACAGCCGCTATTGTTCATCATGATGATGAGTGAAGAAATCCTTAAAAATGTATAACTTCGTAACTTACCACTTGGATCATCCTTATCAACCACCCATTGTACGAGTTGTTCATCTTCAATAATCTCTCCAGCTGCTGCACCTGCTGCTGCTGTGGTTCCAGGGCTAGGTCCTCCTCCTTCTACAACACCACTGCTAACATCACCATTCTTCATGGCTGCCATGCGTTGTTCCTCAAGGGCCATCATCTCTTTGATAATCCGTTGACGAATTTCCTCTGTATTTTGTCTCGACTTGGCTGATGGCGTGTTGCCTTTGCCAGGGGCTGGGCTTGCTGTATGGGCATTTTGTTGCAATTGGGCCAACATGATAGCTGCTGTACGCATTCGTTCTGCATAGACACCTGCTGAGAATTCGGAACGCCGGTCACGTGGTGTGGGTTGTAATTGCAATGATTGCTCGTTGGAAGAACGTGCCGATGGTGCAACAGGAACAGGTGATGATGATGATGATGCTTCAGGCGTGGTTGGTGATCGAATCGATTGTTGATCATACTCATCCAAACTTTGCTTGTTGATACCCAAACCATCCCCCGTGGTGGCAATTGAATCCGTCACACCTGCCATGATCGATCCAGAAGGACTACCAAGGGATTCTGCAATATCAATCGTTTCATCTTCAGGTGATCTTGGAGAAGACACAATGCTCAATGGAGATCCAACACGTTGTGGTAATTGCTGCTGTTGCTGTTTCTTTTTCTTTTTGAGACTTGCACGTTTCAATCGGCGCATACGATGCAATGCAGAAATGTAATCATCATCAAAGCTCAATTCATCATCCAAGACCTCAATCATCAATAAATAAGGTGCCTATATATCGATTATGAATATACATCATTACATACCATCCTTCGCCATTCCCCTTACTTACACGTTCAGCTGAATTGAGTACGACAGCATCCGATGGACTAATTCTTACGACACGATGATGATGAGGTTTTTCAGCAGTGGCAGGACACCAAAGTGGAATACAAATCTCGGCAGGCAAGTTGTGATTGAGCAATGTCAATTCGGCGTTCAATGCACTTGTACGAGCTTGTTTGGGAACAATGACCAAACGAGTAGCGATATCCACCAAAGCCAAAAGGAATTGCATCTCGGATCGAAAATAATTGGAACGCAGCAAGGATCGACGATGATCACGACTCAACTGGGAGAGAGCTGAATATTCTTCATCATCGGATGACTCCTCATGCTCCTCATGTTCTTCATCATTATCCGACGAGGATGCTGTTGCTGCACTGGTGGAAGTTGTGGATATCCTTGGGACACTTGCTTTCTTGTTGTTGAATGGATCCTCTGATGATGATTCTGAGAATTGGGATAAAGCGGGTGATTGGGGTGCTGAGTTGGTTGGCACTGTGGATTGACCCATGGCAGTCAATTTTGGATCAAAGACAGCTGATAATGCCTTGTTGGAAGGAGTTGAAGAAGGTCTGATTTTGCGATTAAGTTTCTGATGGGCTGATTTGATGTATCTGGAGACTGAAAATGCCTTGCCACGATGAAGATCTTCGAGCGAGGGAGAGCTGGCAAACAAGTTCAGGTACGCTGATCGGCGTTTAGCGATGGGCAGATCTGGTTGTGAAACTGAATGATACGGCGAGTCGTGCTTGAGATGGCTGTAATGAGGCATAGGTGATACAATATCGGATGATGTTGACACTGCTCTCGTCTCCTCTTGATCATTGCCATCATGTTCATCCTCATCCTCATGATCAGGTCTTGGTGATGTCGTTGATGGTCCACTCAATGTATTACGTCGAGCCAATGCAGGTGCGTTGGATGAGCTGATGCTGAGTACTCGTGTTCTCCGCCCTTGGGCAATAGCAATATCTCCCGCTGGTCGTGTCATTAATGGTTGTCCAATACCTGCCAACATGGCTCCAATGCCCACAACAGCTGGCACCACATTCTCCCGTACTCGATGTGTAGACATTCCAACATTCAGTGACGTGGATGATGCTCCTCCATGTTGAGACGTGGTATCTTCTTCTTCAGCAGCAGCAGCAGCAGTCGTGGTCGTTGTCGTCGTCGTTGTATCAGAAAACACAATCGCCTGGCATTTGTTCAGCACCCGCTTGCACAACTCAAAGGATGAGCTCGATGGTGTAGCCGATAAGTCTGAAAGGTAAGCTTGTAAATACCAAAGACTCTATTCAACAAGCATTAATATCCTATTGATCTCCCAAGGATCATCATCATCATCCCTTCTTCTTCTTACCATGATTGCCATATGCGTTGATTTTTCACACATTTCCACCAAGAAACATTCGAGTGCAACTGATTCAGTGGGTCGACTTATAAGAAGATGCCTAAATATGCATGCAAGTTAGCAAAAAGAATGCGAGGGTGGAGGGGTTGTTGTGTTGGGGGAAAGGGCTCACTTCAAGGAGACAGGTTTTACTTACATGAGCTGTGGCAAGAAAAACTCGACTTCAGATATGGGAAACTTTTTCAGTTCACTGCAAAGATAGTGCTGGATGCCAACATTGTCTGGATAGCGAAAGAGATACGAGACAGCGATCCATGAGTTGAAAAACTCGGATGTAAAAAGTCGCAATAGCAAAGCGTTCGACATTGTTGGCTGTTTATGCAAGTCGCGAGGATGTCGCCATATAAAGAGGTTGTTGTATTAGAAAAGGGCCGTTTCCCTAGTATCATCATGGTTAGCATATGGTATTCGATCCGTTTTTCTCCTCAAACAAGCAAACAGGTCCACGCAATGTCAAGATGAGGCAGATCAGAGAAAGGGCGATCCGTTGTCGTTGTTCCAGTCTCACGCTCTCTCTCGCTCTCACTCTCTCACTCGCTTCTGCGCCTGAATGATCCCCGTTTCTTTGTTGTAGTTGAGAATGGAAAGCCTTACTTGTTCAAAGCCGAAATGGAGGTGTTCCTTCAAGAGGATCGGGTTCTCAATGAAAAGGAATGCTGTAATGTACAGGTCCAGAGAGGGAACGGGATGAAAAAGAAAAGCAGGTAGTATGTCGATAGTTGGTTGCACGTACAACAAAAGTGGGCGGCAGCCGAATTTATATCCTACGCTCACACTTTCTACTTTTGCATACGCTCACCAACCCCTTCCACCTCCACGTTGGTTGGTTACCACCCTATACATCTCTCTCTATGCTTATCATGTGGGCGCACAGACTATAGGGGCGTATACATATATACACAAAGGATGGTACCTTTAGGACTATGCTATGCTATTATGGATCCTGGGAAGAGGCTACTATTATAACCATGACAATCGCGTGAAGATGCCCGTTCATGTTGCACATGATTTCTGATCTCTATTTAAGATGCCGTTCTTGTCTAGCTAGCTATCCACCATCTCGGATCATCATCATTGTTACATTAAGCTACTCATACACATACATATTAGTTGATTTGATGGTGCATAAAATAAAAGGTTTCAGGTTATTGGCCTGAAATGACCAGTGTATTCTTGATTGATCTGAACGACTAGAAAGCGAGCAGTGGGAAAAGAAAGAGCCCAACACCTCCTTTTATGCATCTGCTCGCATCAGACATCGCATGCGTAGTTGGGGAGGGTCATTGATTTCTGATTCTTGCATGCCATTGTACACAACAACTTGGAAATGAATACTATATGAATCGATACGATAAATGAATGCAAAGTTTATGTTTCACACTGCACACATACAAGTGTCATAGGCATCAATCTTGCATTGTAGATATAGAAAAGCGTGTTAATATTGGTGTTCGATAAGCAAGGTATGTATGTACATGATGAGTACCAGGATGGAAAGGACAAAGTGAATGGAAGGGGAGGATCAAACTATGTAAGGAGCAAATATTAAGGTACGCTGTACTTGGGCTTTCTTTTACGATGTTACGATGAGTGCTGGGAGTGAAAAGATGTCATGATGGTTGCGAGTCAAATGAGAGGAGTCAGCGACGTCAATGACCTTGCGCAAAACATCGATCGCCTACCACTTGTATATGCAGCCACCGTTCTTTGCCCCAACGAACGAGATGATGAAGCACTTGTAGCTTCCAACATGAATGCAAGACCACCATTTGATTTTGGTAGCAGCAATACGCCGACTTGTTGAGCGTGGTAAATACCATCGACATCCACCAAAGCAAACATGTATCCAACATAGCCGAGCCAGTCCATTGCTACTACTTGTTTCACCGGGTTGGAAGGACTGATGCGTTGTAGGGAATCCAAAATGGTGCCGTTGATCCGATAATTCTTGCACTGTTGTATTGTTTCCATGCTGCTTTTACCCCATTTCTTTGAATTCGTTGCTGGAGATTTCCACTTGATCATCGCCGTACTTGATCAGGAGATCTATTTTTCTACCAAAGCTATTCTCTGAGGTGCTGCCAAACATGATGTCGTTGTAGATGCGGGTGTTCTTTGTGCATTCACTACATGTTTCTCCTCTTGGAATGGTATAAAGATAGGAAAAGAGCGTACTAATCTCTTCGTTTTGATATAGTACCCTCTCGGATGTACTTTTGTCACCTACAAAAAAAGTCCCACCAAATTCCTATCAGACTAAGCATCCTTATAATATATAAATGATAGCTATACCTACCACAAAGCTCCATCAAGGAACACAGCCAAATGTCATTAAGCACCAAAGAGCACTACAAATGGTAAAGCAATGATGTGAGCTACATAGATGAATGCATGGTACCCTCATTTTGGGAATCACATATAAAGAATGTCATTGAGACTTACCAAAGGCCATTGATGATGATATGCAAACAAGTAGAAAGAAAGGACGTATGATAGTGTTGGTGACAACAGCGTTGTTTATATGGGCGTGAGAATTGTTGTCATGTCTTGTGAATGTTGGATTAAAGGGATGCTTTTGGATTAAGTCATTTGTCGATATCAAGAACGAATGTTTGGTATTCCTCTGGTTAAATATGAAAGCAAAAGGTTGCCGGATAGGGAGGATTTGATAATGGAAGTGTTGTTGGTAAGCTTTGCTTGTTGGAGTAATGCTACACAAACCATCGTTATGAGGCTTTACAACAAACTTTGCAAGCGAGCTTGGTATGTGCTTAGGTTGACCCGCTTATCAAATGCCAAACAAGGTCAAATCGTATGGTAGATGATGGAAAACATGTTGCCGAATGCTATCACGTATACGATGCAACGACATGTAGATTTTAACACAATACCCTAGACTAGAACAGTTATTCATTCAAGTATCCTATGTCAGTTGAAGTCAATGTGCTATCTCCAAGAGATTTCTCATACATATCGAATGCTCAAAACAGTGCATGCACCTTCCAAAACATAGAACAATATTACTGGATCCATGCAACAGCACTTAATAATGGGACGCGTTAGCTTTTCTTGACAATAATGAAAGGAGCAAGGGTATCTTGTGCTTCGAATCTAACAACTCTTATAAATGAAATCATCCTTGTAAATCCCTTATGAACTTGTGGATTAGCAATGAAACATGTTTATTTATGTAAAGTCTCTTCAAATGATATCGTAATGGTGATGGTGAATGTCTGTTAGTAGAGCTTAATTCGGAATCTAGGTGTCCTCGTTGCTTTCTTTCACCGCCGTGTTGCCTGTCAACGGTAAATAGATCGTCAATGCTTTCCCTTCATTCTCGACGGTTCGCAACACACCATGCGACACGACATTCAATACGCACCTTGGCTACAAGCACTGTAAGACATGCACTATACCTCTCTACAGATTCCAAATAGCTCACAGTCTTGAGTATATGCCAGGGTCGCAACACGTTGTCTACCATGTTTATGACAATGACCAAGGAACAGCAATCGGCTGACGAGGCATCGACAAGTCATGGACTACTTCTCAAAGGAGGATTCATTCGAAAGGTATGATATAGAAGCAAGTGGTACTGGTAGTAGTAGTGGCAATGGTATCAACGTTTTGTTACAGTCAGCTTCAGGGATCTATTCGATGCTTCCACTTGGTCTTCGTATGCTCAACAAGATTGAAACCATCATTGATCAAGAGCTTGGTGCTATTGGTAAGTAACACGATGACGATGATGATGATGTGTGTGTACAAAATGTTGACCGGTATCCAACATCCAGGGAGTCAAAAGCTATCACTTCCGCTATTGTTGTCAGCTGAAAATTGGAAAAAGACGGGTCGATGGAATGCATCCAAAGGAGAGGTACTTTTTTACTGCATGGACCTACTTGATTGATGATGCGTATATACTCATGCTTGATGATGACTAGTTCTTTAGACTCAAAGATCGACGTGAGACCGAGATGCTTCTTTCACCAACACACGAGGAAGAAATCACTCAATTGGTGGCCCATGAGCTCAAATCATCCAAGCAATTGCCAATTCGATTATACCAAATAGGCCGCAAGTATCGTGATGAATTCAGACCTCGAGCTGGTCTGCTGAGAGGACGTGAATTTGTCATGAAAGACCTGTATACCTTTGATGAATCGGTCGAAGCTGCATACCATTCCTACGATTTGGTTGCCGATGCCTATCAGAAAATCTTTCATCGTATTGGAGTTCCTTTTGTTGTGGTATGTCTATAAAACTAGCATGGATATGGAGATGAGGATGCTTACTATGGGTATAGGCAGAAGCGGATACAGGCAATATGGGTGGATCAAAATCACACGAATACCATTTAATATCCCCAGGTATGAATGGCATGATTGGAAATGTGGATATCAAGATTTACCCTATCTATCATTAGCTGGTGAAGATACGTTATTGAGCTGTTCAAATTGTGGCTATACCGCCAATGAAGAACTTGCAGTCGGCAAATTGGATGACGCTATCAAGGATGAAGAGATCAAGGACGCAGGAGCAGAGAATGAGGTGTGCAAGGCATTAGGGCTGGTTCCCAAGACACCTGTGACCCACTCATTGCTTCGTTTTGCAAGCTTGGATAAGGAAGGGGTACCAGTGCACCAAGGGACAGCAGTGGTGCTTGCACGTCAAGGCCGAACCATCAACATGCTCAAGGTGGAAAAGACATTGACAGCCCATCTTCAGGAACAACAGCTTTTTACGGAGGGTGGTATGATTGATATGGCTGCTATCACTGAAGCGATTCCATCACCTTCAACAACAACACCTATCCATGTCTTTGTCGATGACTCGGTTGGTCCTTTGCCAAATGTACCGGATCACGTGGTTACCCATGGCCCTGATCATTTCCGTACCACTGAAGCAGGCGATGTGTGTGTGTCTTGCAATCATCACGACAGCAAATTGACAACCGTCAAAGCCATTGAAGTGGGACACACGTTTTATCTCGGCACAAAGTATTCATCCGCCCTTGGTTGTACATTTTTACCCGAGCAACGAGGAGCATCCCCAAAGGCTGCCGAAATGGGTTGTTTTGGCATTGGTATTTCACGCTTGGTTGCCACTGCAGCTGAAGTCTGTCATGATGATCGTGGTATTGTATGGCCTAGCAGCATTGCACCCTATCGCGTATGCATCGTGCCTACCAGCAACAACAACGCCAAATTGCTCTCCATGGCGGAATCCATTTATGATCAACTTGAAAATGATATGGCTTTTCGCGTCAAAGGACATGCAGGCAGTGTCTTTTACAACGATATTGTGATTGATGATCGCAAACAAATGTTTGGCGCCAAGATGGCGGATGCTGAGCTCATTGGATATCCTTTCATTGTGGTCCTTGGTAAACATGCACTAGAGACCGGTGTCGTTGAAGTCAACCAACGTGTCAAAGGAGAAGCTAATATCAAAACCAAGGTGCCAGTGGACGAATTGGGTTCATGGTTATTTGAGCGACAGATGCTTTAGATTTCCTTTTATTGTATGTACATTAGATAGATTGTAATAAAGCCGACAAAAGTAGTATGTATGTAAACCTAAACGGCTCCTTCTTTCTCGCACAAATATGGCTACATGATGACGAAGACGTAAACGATTTTATTCGTATTCAATAAGTAGATACAATGAAAAATGGAGCTGGTAAGAAATGACATGGCACTATTGACCTGGACCAGGTTGCTGGTATTGAGTATATCCACCACCGCCGCCATAAGAAGGTGCTGTGGGTTGAGATGTAAGCGTGCCTTGTTGTTGTTGTTGTTGTTGACTTTGCAAAACCTGTGCAAGCTGTGCGAGAGCAGCATTTGGGTCGGTTGGAACTGCTTGAGGTTGGTGTTGTGCTTGTTGTGTAGTAGTTGTAGCAGGTACAGCAGGTACAACGGGAATTGTAGGCTGTGTTGCTTGTTGTTGCTGCTGCTGCATTTGTTGTTGTTGTTGCTGGGCTACCATCTATATAGATCATGTCATTAGAGTGATCCTGAAAATGCTACCATAGATTGAATTACCAATAGATCTAATAGCTCTCGTAATTGTGCTTGTTGATCTGGTGTAGCTGATGCTGTTTGTGCTGTTGCAGGTTGCGAGATTGGAGCTGGAGCTGAAATACTTGTTGGCATGGAATAAGCAAGATGCTGCTGTTGCTGTGATGGAGTAGTAGACTGCGGATTAAACATTGTTGGCTGTGATTGTGGAGGTAAACTTGAAGGAGGTGATGCCGTAACCGGTGTTTGAGTGATCTTGGTAAGCAGCTATCAAAAAGTCGTTAATGATCATCAATCATGGTTTCATTGTGCCACGTTTACCTCTTGAGCTTTTTGGGCCTTCTCCATCCGATCCCTTTCTTCATTGTATTCATTCGATTGAAGTTGTATGTCGCCATAAGCAGGTCGTTTATTCGATGAAGGTGATGATGTATCTCGATGTTGGTGGTTGATGCGTGGATCACGTGGAGCAGGTGGCTGTGGGCCATTGCGACGTCGCCGTCGACCACGTTGGAAGTCGTCATCACTAAGTCGTCGTTTCTTTTCGGCTCCATATCGCGTGGAATCCGTCCTATGATCAGGCTTATCGCTTTTATCTCTTTTTCAAGGCATTAGTTGACCATGCTGTATATCACTTGGACTCCATCCTACTTACTTCGTTGTATGATCCCAAAAGAAAGATACATCCCATATGCCATCTCCATAAGGTTGACCTTGACATGCATCGTAAGCTGCTATACATGCACGAGAATCGTAATATTCAACAAAGCGTTGTCTACAAAGGTCATCAGCATGATGAAATCCATCAAAGTACAAACAACACGCACCGTTTTCCATATGACTGGTTTCGAAACTGAGGTATTCTTATCACCTTGACTTGACCAAATTGAGAGAAATAGGGATGTAGCAGGTCATCTTGAAGCCATTCCTTTGTGTTGTTAAGGGTGAACAACAATGTACCCTATAATGAAAGACGTACTCAGCAAACAATCAAGAGATGGCTTTGTTTGTTTTTTTTTTTGGTACCTGATTACTTGATCTCCCACATTTAGTATTCTGATCCTCTTCCTTTGGTAACGAATAATGAACATCAATCTTTCGACCACACAATTCTGCTCCTTGAGTTTGCTGCTTTGCATGCTCAGCTGCACGTAAATCGTACTAAATGACATTATTATGCTTGAGCTGCTTGTTCTTTCTTTTTGTTTTGGGGGAAGAATAAACACGTACGAATGTAACAAAGACCATGCCACGCTGCTCAATGAGATCGAATATATCCTTGATCTCGCCAAAATGTGAAAACATATTCATAACATCGCTTTGTCTAGCTTCATACTTGAAAGAGAGAGAGAGAGAGAGAACAAGAGCTGTCAGCTTTATATTGAGGTCTGATTGGATCCACGTCGACGATAATACCTGAACATTTCTCACAAACAAAGTTCTGCAAGGTCGCTCACGCGCCGCTCTTTGCTCAATCTGTTGTGTAACGCGATCCGCTAAAGAAAGTATATATCCATGTTCAACACTGATGTTCATTCAAAGAATCCCTCAAGGCTCAAGTTTCATCATAATGTGTGTGTGTGCGTTCATGCAAGTAGCAAGGGACGTCATTGTACATCTTGATGCGTATTCCCACCAACTCCCACCCTTTCACATCCTCGATTCAAGTGCTTGATAAAAGGAACAAGGTGTAATTCTTTCGACTCACGCGCGATCACATCACAATGAAGAGAGAGAGAGAGACACTGGCAAGAAACAAGCAGCCAAGGGAAGTAAAAATATGTAAAGACTCTTACCATCTTCGTTGCGTTTCGCATCCCAGTGAAAATTCTCTTTCCTAGTAGTTGTAGCAGTACGTGATGGTGTTGTTGAAGCATGATAATATGAAGTAGTATCAGGCACAGTGGGACCCGGATAGGACATTCCACCACCATCCATATTATATTCATTTGCTCTTTGGTGAAAGGGAACAATAGGCTGTTGTTGCTGCTGATGATGTTGGTGTTGGAAACCTCCTTGGTGGTAGGGTGTTGAAGAAGAAGAAGAATAGCTCAAGAAGTTGTTCTGATCAAGTGAAGGCTTGGGACCACGATGATGCCCTCCTCTAGATGCCATTCCACCTCTCTTTCCTCCTCCTCCTCTCGACATTCCCCCATGGCTTGAATATCCTCCACGTCCAAAGTTCCCGCTGTAATTGCCATTGCCTCGTCTTGCTGATGGGCCGGCGACATGGCCATTGTAAGGTGGCATTGAGGAAGACATGGCTGGCATATTGTTTCTCGAAGGTGGGCCACTGTACATATCATATGGCGTATACGGTTTGTGAGGATCCATAAGTATTGTTGTCAAGGTATGATATATGGGACGGAAGAAGTGTGTGAGCGAGCGCTTCTCATCTGATCGTGAAAATGTCTACCAGTAGTGCCATCTTCATCATATCAATGAGATCACGACCCCTCCTAGCGCCAATGACCGGGTTTTTTAATACGACTATCACCTTGTTAAACATGTTTTATTCAATGGATTGCTATATAAATTGGGATGATCATTAATCATGTGTCTTAAGAGTATACGCATACATGTGCACTACGTATTAGATAGGTCTGCTGGTGCTAGTTTAATAATATTGGTTCGATACGACCCAGGGTTTTTATGATCGAATCGATGCAATGGGTAGGTTTAAAGTAGCAGATTGTCATAAGTGGTTATGAGGGGTTATCTTGGTAAGGTGTGCAAAACCGGTTGAAGGATCTCAAGCAATTGGACGCAGCATACACAGGCTCAAGCATCAATACCTTGGCTAGTTATGCTGATGCAGCGCGAACGATGGCAAGTGTCTTACAACATACCATCTTGAAGCGGATGCGTCGTCTTGACGACAGTGACCATGACAACGCTAAAGTGGATAATGATGGAAATGAGAGCGGCGAGGTAGAAGAGAAGGCTGATAACATGAACGGCGAGATTAAGGACGATAAAGATGCTGGCGTTGACAACAGTGACAGTACACCCTTACGTCATGGCAACCAACGGGCATTCTTATGCCACCTACAAAAAAAATCAACTTTCAAGTGGAAGGTGGATTTATCAGCTGTGATCTTCCATCACTTCGACACAATACTGTACTTCAAGATGCTTGACCACTTTATCAATTCGATCGACAACAATTCCCACGCCAGCTCACATATAAACAAGGCTCTTTGCATCAACACTATCACACGCCCTTTCTTTCTACTTGTACATCATCATCAATGGACTTTGGTGAGTCTCAAGGATAGTCTTTATTATGTGATTCCCAAAACGAGGTTACCATGAATTCATCTATGTAACTCACATCATTGCTTTGCCACTTAAAGTGCTCATGGGTGCCTAATGACATTTGGCTGTGTTCCTTGATGGAGCTTTGTGGTAGGTATAGCCATCATTTATATGTATAAAGATGCCTAGTCTGATATAGGAATTTGGGACTCCTGTGTAGGTGGCATAAGTACATGGGGACGAAATCCCAACGGCTTAGCACGTTGAAAACGGCAATTTTCAACATTGGATACAAAACGGTGAGGATGCGGGGATGATTCGTCAATTGATCACATCTCTGATTCTAGTTGCGAGGCAAGCAGTGGGCGGATGCTGACTACCACCTACTGGATCAAATTTAACACAATCCCATCATGGGCCTTCGTCCTCCTTTAGCCAAGTACATTGGTGATTTATCAAAGGATGACATCTACCGGCTAAAGTAAGTCTGCTCAATTTAACGATTCAAGTCTTATCTAAAAAAAACGTAGACGTCCACTCTGGTATTGTCAACACAATTTGCACGAGTGATGTATGATCATGTCCACCCTTTTCTCTTGGCACAACATCTCAACAAACGTCTTGATGCTATTGTCCACGCCCTCACCAGAGATAAGAAGGGATCTATTGCAGCAAGTCGTTCATAAATTGTAAATGAAAAGATGTCTGTGACACGAAGTGAGTTCATGCTAAATACTTGTTTCTTTCTTGTAGTGAGCAAAGTGCATCGATGAAAGAGACGCTGGTCCTCGTGCATGATCTTGAACGTCCATTCCTCATATCACAACAACGCAGCAGCCAGGCGTATCGTGCTCTGAATCCCGTTGAAGCGATGTAAGTAATCTCCTCTTATCAATTTGACGTTTCTTTTATTGATCCCTTTTGTTGTTGCGTCCTGTAGACTCAAATTCATGGGATCTAACTTTTTGCTTTTGAGGCTGTCATGCTTAATCTTGGACAAGAAGCACAAGCGGCGTTAGAGCAAAGAGAATGTCTCGACAACATTTGCGAAGTCGCAGATGTACAACATGAAAGCATACCCAGCATGGATCATTCCATCTACCTCACACCAACGGGACAACAAAACCAACAAAACCAACTCTTTTGTTACACATGGCCATGTGGGTTGAGTAGAGACAATGACACATTCTACTTTTTCCTCACTACTCGGGATACTTTCGGTCCATCCTATGATCTCTGTACATCAATTATCTATGTGGAAACTTGGGAATCACTAGCATACAATAAACTATGAGCTGAATTTCACAATGAATGAATGTGTCAAATGCCAGCATTGGATGTGGCTCTCTCCTTTCAAAGTCTTGCGGAGTTTTGCACAACAAAAAGTGTTTTCTGATTTTTGGTTGCCATCCCTTCTTCCTTCCACCGACCTACACACAACCCAGCCACCACCATGTATTTGATGTATTATCTTAACGAGAAGGGCGATCGTGTCTATACACTCAAGGTACGATCTTGTCTAATGCACCTTTTTGAATGAAGCAAGGATCTCGATTGACAGCATGCTGATTGGATCTGTTTGAGTAGAAGGTCGATCCCAAGGGCTTGCCCACCAAGTCTGCTCACCCAGCACGTTTCTCACCTGACGACAAGTTCTCTCGTCAACGTATCACTATCAAGAAGCGTTTCAAGATCTTGCCTACTCAGATGCCTGCTCGTGCCTTGTAAAACGACATTTTCATATCTCTTTTCCGCTCTCTCTCGCTTCTCTTGCTTTCTTGAGGATAACAACAGCAAAAAAGTTCTCGCATCTGTACGATACATCTTTCTTTTTGACATCTTGGCAGTTTTTTGATCACCGTTGATATATACGCAAACAGCACATACACACACATATTATGGATTAAAAGTTCATTTCATCAATTCAATTTCAATGGGATGCAAAGAGTGGATGGTGGATGATGGATGATGGATAACATTAGCTTCTTGTTCTATTCTACATGCTTTATCATAATGTAGTTTACAGCATCGAATTCACCCAATTTAAAATGACGCGTGCCAACCTTGTGAAAACCTTGTCGTTCATAGAACCCAATTGCATTGGCATTGTTCTCCCAAACATAGAGCCAAATCGTCTTTTTGCCCAGCTCTTTTGCCTTGGCAACGGATTGAAGTATGAGCCTTTTACCAATGCCGACACCATGATAACGTTGGTCAATGTAAAGTCGTTTGAGCTCTAATGCATCAGGATCATCAATCACATCATTGTTCTCATGCTTGTGGTCTCGGAGTTGGCAGTAAGCTATAGGCGTAGTAGCGTCGTCTCCACCTCGTTTCTCGAATGCCATGTACGTAAACATGCGTGTATCGTTCAATTCTTCGGTTTGTACATCAATTGCAAAGCTAGAATTCAGGTATTCTTCCGCATAGGCAGGCAATGGCTTGTCATTTAAATCATACGTCTCCATGAATAGTCTTTTTGCCACGTTGGAGAGCGCACTGGCATAATCAACATTGATGGGTAGTACTTGAAAGTCCATATAGTAGTAATAGTATGTCGAGTAAGTGGAAAGAGCTATTGCCTAAAAGGCTTTAATGGGGTCGAAAGTGAAAGGAAGAGGAGAATTGCTTTGTAATCGACGATTACGTTGGAATACAATTATGAGCGGACATGCTGTAAATGTGGCTGGATGTGTCCCACATCTATAATTAACCTTGTTGGCTCATGTGCAATGGCAAGTCGAGATACAAGGCTCATGGTAAGTATCATGTATTCGTTAGATACGAGTTTATTCAGGTGATAAAAACATGGTCGTCTTCACCAAGTACAAGGATAAGGATCATTCATCCCAAACAAAGATCACGTGTATGTCACTTTGATATGTTGCCAGCGACATTGAATTGGGCATTAACGTAAATGGATGTGGGTGTTGCCATGGAGACCATGTTGCATCCCCAACGCCGTACTTGTATTGATCAATGGTCTGAAGATGCTTCTTTACACAAAGTGATACCATGACATTGATGCATGTTTTTATTCAATTGTGATAGAGACCAAGTATCATTTGCAACAATAGATGTATTGGATACGATGTACTATGAGAGGGATGATGATGTGGGGGACATTGGAGATCTATGGCAGAGTAGAGGTGGTGACAAAAAAGTCCAGCTAGCCAGTCAGTCGACGTCATTTGCGAGGCTTTGTCTCCGCTGAGAGGAAAACAAAAAATGGTCGTTTGAGGTGCCCTTTTGGAATACTATACACCCACCCACACACACCCCACTCCCAAGGTAATCCATTGACGCATCCAAAAGCACTTGTAACTCGTCATTGACCATGCTGTTACCTTCTTTTTAGCATGCCCGTCCAACAAATTCAGACGCCTTATCCTGTTATCGACACCGATCCCAAATTCACCCGTGTTGTGCGTTACTTTCGACCTTCCGATTATGCTGCATGGGCCGTTGGTACCGCTGCAGCTCCTGCCGCCATTTTGGGCTTTGGTACGGTTGCTTGATGCGTTATCATTGGGCATGATTCAGACAACAACTAATGGTGGAGGATACATATAGAGCGCGTGAACCCTGTTGGTGTTGGTCGCAGCCTTCGCATCCCTCTTCGTATTGCCACTCTCTTTGGTGCTTTTGGTGGTTTCCTTTACGCCTATCAAAACAGCAGCTGTAAGGATATACAACGACACTAGACTCGTCAATTCAATACGATTAACGTGGATGGATCAATAGTGCGTTTCTGGGGCTGGTCCGAAAATGCCGCTGAAGTTGCCAAGGATCAAGAAGAGATGAAGCAGCTTATCAAGGAGGGCAAGCCCTTGTATGGTGAGAGCTCTATGCCCGAGCACATTCAAGAGATGTCTGCTAGAAACTCCCGATTCGCTCAACTCAAGTTCAGTAAGTCAATTGGAATATGAAAGAAAGAGAAGAGGATATGGATATGGATATGGATAGGGGTTGTTGATGTTCTTTTTCTTGCTAGGCTCGATTCCTTGGTTCAACTTTGCCAACCACAACAGCCATGGTGTCGACACTTCCAAGTACAACAACTAAGATTAGATACGACCAGCAATAAAAAAAAGCAATTGTGTGACAGGAATCGATGGATGAATTTGAACACCAAATGCCTTGGCAATAATGCATGATCAATTAAAGCAAAACAACGTCATCATCATCATCCCTTGTGCTACTGAATAGAGAAAAAGAAGGAAGCAACGCGAATAAATGTGTTTCATTTTGTGCACGAGCCACATGATATCTGATCAAAGAGGCGAGGTTTACGTGTTTATTGCCATATGTGATGATCCCCCCAGGCATCATTGCTGCGGATGCGTGTTATGGTTGGATCCGCGGATAAGGATAGCAGCAACACCATTATGTAGCAGCACCACACGTTGTTGTTACCATTGTTATTGCTGCGGCAAGTAGGGGGGATGATGTTGTTGTTGCATTGTGTGATCCCATTGACTAGAAAGCGAGATCAACAAGAGAAGAGGGCCATGCTCAGCTAAAAATTTATCTGATCATGGCCATGTGGCCCATTTTAAAGAAATTTTGTACACAAAGCATTCATCATCAGGTTGTTACGGTAGATCACGGAAAGCATCCCGGTTGAGTCAAATCCTTGAAAGCCAACAAAAAAGGAGACTGGGATTACGTGGCCACGTTTTTCCCGGTTGACAGAGTGGCTGTGTGTAACCAGTGCGGCTTTTCGGTCGCACCTCCTTGGTAGTGATCGATCAGGGAGCCCAAGAGATGACAAATCAATCCCCACTCGATGCTTTCAAGTTCCACTTGTCCAAAATAAGAAAATGCAAAATCAATAAAAATGATCACCAAACTCTGAATCCGATCTCAAACATCTTTCTTTTGTTTTCTCATAATCTCACACACATACACCAATGTCAATGGCCACCTTTGCTCCAAACACCCATCATCATCATTGGGACAATTTTGGATCCACTACAGCTCCTACTACAATCAACAACAGCAATAGCAGCAGCAGCTTTAGCGGCTTTAGCAGCAGCAGCAGTAGTAGTAGTAGTAATGGCAGCATCGGCACGCTCGATGATTTGGAACATATCAATCAACTTGAAATGCTTGGGTTACCTACTCGTCCTGGCCCTGACGACTGGAAGTTCGCATTGGATGGAATCAGACAAGAAATGTATAGCACAACAGGTGCAGGTTTACCATCACCTGCCAATTACTTTGAACGAATCATGCGTGCAGCTGTCATCCCGGATGCTATCAAGGCCGATGTTTCTATGAGTGACGATATCTCTGCATACCGCAAAGCACGCTCGGAGCGATTGGTGATGAGGCTATTCCATTGTATGGGATACGACAAGAGTAATGTGATGTGTCTGAGCCCCGGGGTCTATGTGCACAATAAATGGCAACCAGGTAAGCTGAGGAAGGAAGGAGGGGGGAAAATCGGTCGAAGCGCCGAATGGGACACTGATAAGGATTCTGCTTTAGATTATACCAATGCAACCCTTGATGATATTGTATTTGGCAATCTCCAATTTACACCTTTCAGCTATACATTTGGTGCAAGATATACGGATGCTTATGGATATGCAAGCGATATTATCATTCGAGGAAATTTGCCTCTATGGGTACAAAGTCTTTTCCTTGCTGAATGTGTACGACAAAATCAACCCATTCGTGCTGGCGATACACGATCAGGTCTCTTTACCTTTGCACCAGCCGTGGCTGTGCAATTTCAATCATTACGATCATTACAACAACCATCCAATGTAAACCCAGAACTTGCCTTGGCATATGAACGCATTGCACTCGAGTTGGTGGAACCCGACATGTTACTTTCAACCACACAAACCCTTGAAGAAGAGGAATCAATTTGGAATGAGCGTGTTATCGAAAAGATGCTGATATGCGATATTCCCGACTCGATGGCCCAGATCCTGACGGAGATGGCTACTGCATGGGCATCCAGTCAAGGCTTCCCTATGCTATAATCACCGCACTCAATCACACACCATATACTACACCTCCTGGTTTCTCACGCATCAATTATTTTTCTACCCTTACGCAAATCTACCACCACCACTAGCACGTACGACATTACACACACACGCACACACTCACCAATCTTTCACATACGCTTTCATCTGTTTTAATTGCATCATGTTGCTTTTTTTCTTTTACCCTTGTATATGTTCTTTTCCCCCCTCTCTCTTATCCTCCTCCTACTATGTAAATGCTGATTTCCTTTTTTGAATTGTTTTGTCTCCTTTTATAAATCAAGTTTTTTTTTGTTGTGTATGTTTCATTGTTTGTCTTAAATCATGCTAGTCGGAGCAGGCGCCGAATTGGAAGCTGTTACGGGAACATGGAGGGTCTGCAGTAAGCCATTATCTTCCATGCCAAGCACGTGTTTTCTTCCATCATGAGGAGGAGCCACTGCCATCCATGGTGATACAGTTGCAATAGCAGGGGCTGAGGATGGTACCACATCTTGTACGGTTACTGGCAAATCAAAATGCTTGATACGACCTAAATCATCCATGGCAACCACATTGCCGTCGTCATGGCGATGACCGGTATCTTGGCGTTGTTGACGTGTGGGAGGTACAGGTACAAGGTTGATGGGATTAAAGCGATTGTTATGGACACCGGCAAGGTTATGATTGTTGCTGTTGCTTGCAGCTGCTACTTGGCCAGCAGCTCCTCCTCCTCGTGGTAAACCATCTTTGCCCAAGCGCAGCATTGGGACAACAGCTGATGCCTCAATAGCAGCATCATGTTTCATCTCCGAGAGGCTTTGTGCATGAATCATCTGGATCACTTCATCGGCTGCAGGTGCAGGTGCAGCATGCACCACCATCAGGGTCATTGCTGCAAAAAGACCAATCCATGTATTAGGGATCATCATCATTATTATGCTGATATTAAGAAAGAAGCGAAAAGAAAAAGAAAAGAACAGAGCTCGCTTTCTAAGAGAATTCGTATTTTGTCTATACAACCCACTTGTTTATTTCCGAAAGAATGATCCTCCCTTTCTTATCACTTTAGCAGATCAGGGTGCTCAGTCCAAAATGCATCACCAATAATGTCAATGTGAAGTGGAGTGGGTATGAGTTTGATACGTTCTACTGGCTCGCCTGTATTGGGTGATATGGATGTCACCTTGGTCTAACCACGTGGCCATGTAAGTATACACATGCATGCGTCTCATTGTCTCATTCCCATGACTCCCTCTTCACTTTTCCCTACCTTTTGTCGAATAATAAAGGATCCTTTGCGATAGATTTGTTCGATGTTGTTGTAATTGATGTCGTGTTGTGTAAACAGAATTTCATGCTTGTCTTTGGAAAATGTGCCCTGGAATTTCAAATGCGTCAATGACCAAAGATGGTGGTGTTGTCCTCATCCAATCTTACCCGTAAATCCTCCTCAGCCTGAGTTTCGGTTTTGCCAGAATGAACAATGGCCCAAAATGTGGTATTGTAAAGGTTGTTGATATGGCCTAGGAGAATCATTCTATGAGTCATCATCATCCATTGATGAGGCAGGCGTTTTTTACACTTACAGTCTGCTTGTCGCCAGCTTAAATAGTCGCGTAGGTTTTGATCCGATGGGTAGCATACAACACGTGAATCGAAGCAAGGTGGATATTGAAGAGTGACATTGCCGAAATACTCGCTCCATCGCATGACATAATTGGCAGCGAACATACTAACGATCGTGGACGATATCTTGCTGGCTCGACGTGCATAGAGATTGGATGACTTTGGGAGTACAAAACTGACCACAATACATAATGTCAGGGTAACCAAGCAACAAGAGGTGTGTGTGTATGTATATGTTGCTATACCTGTATTCGTCGCTTTGACCATACGCCATAGTGATGTCCTTGATATCCTTCATAACCTCGACAGCACACCGGTTCATGAGGTCAATGGCGCGTCGATCGTTGGGCTTATCAAAGGCATGTTGCTGTGAAAAACTGGGGATCGTCCATGAGGAACAAGTTGGACACACTCGCTGATCAGGTAGCTTGTATACAATTACCGGTGGAATCCTCGACCGTCAATACGCACCACAAGCCATGTGTTTGGAATGATCTTGTCGACTGTTTCAAATTGCCGTACGTATTCGTATTTGGAGTTGGCCATAGGTTGTATGTATCGTCGTCGTCGTCAAGACAAAGCTGCAAATTTGACACCCATCATTTTAGGCGGGGATGAAATACTTGGAATGTCTCCCTCCTCTTCTTCCACCTGGATTCGGCATTAAAAAAGTAGATGATTGTTCCCCATGAAGCAAGCACAAAGACGTTATCTTACAATCCATTAGACATGGATTTATATGACACAATGGATCACGTGCCTGGTTGTTGTGATGCTGTAAGCGTACAAGGCAATGTACTTTCAAGTACCTTTTCACATGTAAACAAGGCCAAGAATTAGGTGGGTGTAATCATCATGCTATGCATCAACTTTATTTTCTTTTTATAAGCCCACTTTAATGATAATCATGCTGACCACAGGAGCTACGCAAAGATTTGGCGAGCAGTAGGAGGATGATGCTGTTGTATCCGTTTCCCCTTTGGCTTTTTTGGTCCATTCCATCGCCTTCCCTTTGTACTTTGCTGTTGTCGTTGACCCGTAGTATTGTTGGTATATCCATTTCGAGCAGGTATTGATGGTGCTGGTGATAGCCAATGTGGCGTTTGGTGGGGTGGTGGTGGTGATGATCGAGTAGCAACCCTTTGGATTCCTCGTGAATTGGACATCTGTTGCTGATGATACTGCTGCTGTTGTTGGATTGGTATGTATTGCTGATGACCATGACCATAGCCTTGTTGTTGCTGTTGATGTTGTTGCTGCTGTTGCTGGTATCTGCCATTGCCGTTCGAGGGCTGGTTTATCGGTGATCGGTGCCTTTTCCCAGATCCTTTGTTGGCTTGTCTTTGATAATTGGGATGATAATAAGATCGATTTACATAAGACGATGGGGCTGCATTTGTGTTGTTGGTGCTGTTGTTGTTGTATTTGGGTCGCGGTATATTGTTGTTGTTCGAGGGGAATGGAGTATATACATTGGAATGATGCGTTTGGTATCTTGTAGGTGAATAGCAATATTGGCGAGGATCTTGGCCAACAAGTGCACTTGGAGGATGAGGAGTGGAGGTTGTTGGATAATACATGTAATATGGATACGATGTCATGTTGTTGTTTGTTAATGATGAAACATTGGATGCATGTTGTGATGGAGGTGGTGGTGCTTGGATAGCATAATGTTGTTGTTGTTGTTGTTGCGTGCGTAAATGATGTTGATGTTGATGATGATGGCGATGATGAGTAGAAGAGGATGATGGTTGTTGTTGTTGTTGTTGTTGGCTTGATGGTAGAACAGGTTGACAAAGCAAATCAAGACTATGAGTCTCCAAAAGAATGTGGACTGCACGTTGAAATTCAATTTTGATGCCAAGCACGGATGCCTCGTCAGCAGAGTTGCCAAGGTTACGGAATACATTGAAAGGCTCCTCCACACATAGCAACCTACTATTTTGGCCCTGATCCCATTCCTTCTCAACTTTGCTCAAATAGCGACCATGCCGCACAGACACGACTTGAGTATCGTAATCAAACTCGTATGCAAAGCGGCGGAAGAAAGCAAATAAAAGCCCTGCCAAACTTTCCTGGTTCCGCCTTCCAAAACCTTGTAGAGCATCGACATTGGTGAAAAATGAGGAATCATGGCCGTGAATAACGACATTGTCGGGAGACTTTTCATGATCCATTTGGTGGAGCACTGGCAAGATGGGAGGTTCACGCATTTGTAAAAAGTTGATGATCATGCATGTCCATGTATATGTGGACAGGGTTCCTCCATAAGCTAAAGTGTTTCATAAGTACATTATAAATGTAAAGTATAAAATGAGGTATTTTACCTGCATCATTCAAGGCACGTTGTCGTGTCCAATGCTTGATTGCCATTGCTAGGGGGCGCACCCTGGGGTCAATGGCACAATAAGTCTTTACCATCTTTGTATTCTGCAGAGCAAGAGTGTTGTTGATATTCATGTCACAAGCCAGTTGTCTATTAAAAGTGATAAAATGAGATTACATTATGGGGGGGAGGAGATGGGATGTGTACTTACAATACTGGGTCCCACATTTTGACAATAGGCACCTTTGCATGTGGCACCATCCACACACGTTCCATCCCGTCTATTATGCAGAAACACAAAAAGTGCCACCCTTGCTTAGTTTTCTGGTATCCATTGACACTATGACTGCCATCCGCCACCATCATCACTTACGTTTACGTAGAGCTGCTGCCAAAGTAGATAATTCCAGATTCGGCCATGTTGTTTTCAAACAAATGTCAACATCTGATGTGCTTGTACCCAAATCATTTTCAGAAGATCTATCATGGAAAAAGAGAGTGAGAAGAAATCGACGTTGGATGAGAGAGCTGACGAGCGCTTTACCCAAACAAATATGCACGAATGTCATGACCAGGCCACTCTTCATTAAGGATTGTCTCGATCTTGTTCACGAATTTTGTACGACGCACATAGGAATCCATTGTGGGTAATAAACTCTACCAATGTATGATGGATTAGAATAAAGGGGAAAGGAGACATAGGGAGTAGCTTTTTGTCGTTGTTGAAAAGGGATGTAGGGATCAAGGGAAACCGCCATTCAATACTCCAAAGTGTCAATATTGCCTTCTCTCTTTCTCTTCTTTTTTTGATCGCTTTTGCATAACGATGGCGATGTGGGCGTGTGGAGATATGGGTGAAAGGGTGTTGAATGTGATAACTTACTTCATGTAACTCGAGTATGTCAACGCTTAATGCATCCTCGATATGTCGGTCAGGGAGAATGATCGGAACACTCGGTGATATGTCAGCATGGTCGTCAACGTCGGGCGCTTGTGGTGAACTTGGCTCGGCAGGAGATGAGAGATCTGTGGATTCGTCCGAGGTGACATCGGAAGCACCATACTCGCGAACAGGCGTACAGGCATGAGGCGATTTGAAAGGATCGTCCAGAGACAGGAATGGCATCACGTGTGGTTCCTCAATGCATAACGACTTGAGTTGTGTAGACAACATAATAAACGCTCAAGTGGTGGAAGAAAGAAAGAGAGAAAGAAAAAGAGAGGCGTGAATAGGTGGTGGTTGTAATAGCAGTAGTAATAGCAGTGTTAATGAATAACGATAACGGTGGGTGGTGGTGTCGGTGTAAGGAACAAGTTTAACTGCTGCTGCTCCTGCTGCTGCTATTGCTGCAAGTTGACAAGGAGACTACTATTGCTACAACAAAGACACACAATAAGCGTGTAGAATGTGGATTGGAATAGAAACGACGTGTATAGAAAGAAGAGGAATTGTGTTGTGTGTGTGAAAGAGTGCAATAATGAATAATGATCCACAAGGGGAAAGAGGTGCAAGCGAGAAAAGTAAAGTAAAGGAGAAAGAGAAAAAGAGAATTGGGTGCCTCTCTCGTATTACAGAAAAAGAAAAACTGAGAGAACGAAAGGAGAACAAAGCAATACCACCATTATTTAACATTCAATCTCTTTACATCGCTGCCGCTGCCGCTGCTACTAGTACGCTTTCTTTTTTTATTCCCTCTCTCTCCCCCACCCCTCATATCATCATCATCATCATCACAATAATCTCGTACATTGCTACTGGTTTGTTTCATCTACTATGGATATTACTTGTATTCATCTTATCCCTCCTCATCCTCCTCCTCCTCCACTGCAAAAGTAACTAGATTCATGTGATATCTGCGCCATGAGAACAAGATGCACACACACAACCAAGTTTACCCATCATCAAGAATAGTACTCTTTGTTACCATCATCACCGGCATGAGCCAAATCCCCCAATTCATGCCGCACACTTGTCCGCCCTTTATCACACACTCAACATCCATTTGGTGCTGTGCAAGTGCTCCTTTCTTATTTTGTTTTGCCCCAGACGATCCACTGTTGTCACGCGACACCTAAACTCTATCACAGACCGTAACACACGTACAAGTCTGTTTTTGACACAGACATCCATCATCACCATGCACCCGGAATGGTGGCACCTATCACTATCCATACCTTTCCCAAAACACTTTTATAATGGTTCAATAGCAAAGATGACGTTGAAAAAGAGTATGGGTGGCAAAATACTAGTGAATGATTCAACACGTAAACAGGTCTTGTGGAAGAGAAATAGCCATGTTCAACTGCGGAAAGTCGGCCCGAACTTGAATGATTGTCAAAAGACCGCGCCCAATACTGGTTTATTACTTTTTACCATGGATCTCTATCCTCTGCCTTTTTAATCATATCATAGAGCACTTGTGACTCGGGTGGTGCAGGCACTTCCCCCTTGAGAATATTTTCAGCCTTGACAGGTCTGCCGTACCATCCAGCATTGGTTTTGCTCAACTCCAATAAGCCCGTTCCTTCGATACTCATGCCTGCAAACAAGCCCTTTGATTTGCTGTAGGAGAAGATAGGTGTCACCTTGCGACTTGAATAATCACCAGAGACGGCTGCTTCACCACCTGCACCAATGGGACCAGCACTCACAGCCAAACTGCCACCCACAGTAACGTTGCCACCACGTGAAAAGGCTCGTACGGATTCATCGCTATTCAAGATCAACACCACGTCCGTGATATCAGCGCCGACTTGAGCACCAATACCCACACCACCCGTGGCTATAGCAGAAGGTGCACTCCATGCTAAAGAAGAAGAAAATAAACATCCCATCCTTTCACAATCTATCAAATCCACTACTTTTTACTTACATCCATCGGGTAATCTAAAAGATGTACAATGGGCATTCATATGATTAATGCAAAATCATGCACGTGATATGGATGGTCAAGTTTTACCTTGCAACAACAATGCCGCTTCCTGCACGTCCACTCCATAAAAAGCCAGCCTTGACAACTGTAAAGATGGCTAAGCCTTTGGCTTCCTTGATCACCTTGACAGGAATCACCGTATCAAATCCATTCTCGATCTCCTCTTTGACTATAAACATACAACAACGCTATCAGCTGCTATTGTATTGTACCACGTGCCACCGCCTCTCCTTTGATGTTATATACTTACGGATAAACTGCTCGAGGATCCTTGCAGCCTTGGCAGACTCTTCACTCAATGTACCAACAACAGGCGAGTTAAACTTGGTCGCTCCTATAGGTTGAAATGGTAAGCCTAAAGTATACTCCCATTGCCGATCCATGTCACGACGATGGCCACCTACCTGACTTTTCGGCATAGTCACTGATGCTGCGTCCAGCTTGCTGTCCAAAAGCAGTTGCACCTAATGGCCACCGTGATTACCAGTTCATTCAGAGCATTCAATAAAGCACATACCTTGAGCAGCTTGTGATACTTGGTCCTTGAATTTGTTAAACATGAAAAAGTGGGAAAAGAGAGCTAGTGGAAAATCGACAGGGTTCTAAATCATGTTATCTTAGCTGAGTGGTCTGATCACATGCATGGACTTGGGTCTCAGACATCAATCATCTTCCATTCTCTACATTGTTGTTGTTACATTGCTCTTTTGAAACATGTTATTTACGCGTGCATGGATATGCTACCATGGATCTGATTCTTCGATTCATTTGTCGCGATAAGGTCTTTCTTAGTGCTACCGTCACAGGATCATGTTGGTAGGTATTCCATGACCCAATGATATCATGAGGAACGTAATCATTTGAGAAGCAACAGGTAATTTGACAGACATCCACATGATTGCCAAGTCCTCTTCCACTGGTGAGAAGATGACACGTATATCGATTGGGAAAATTGCCAAGATAGGATGCGCTTTTGCCTGCTGCAAGTTGTCTTTACCATGGAAGTCCATATCGACGAGCATTATTAGATCATCACATTGCAAAGGGTGATTGAATGATATACCACACTTTATGGCGACTTCCTTTACTTCTAACTTTTAATCATCCTTGGCACACAATGATCCCTCCACGACTAACCAAAATTGGCATTTTAAGCGCATTATGAACTAAAACGTAGTATACGAGATAAGCACAAGGTAATGCAACATTCATGATAGCAGCTCAAATCGGGCATGAATGAACAAAAAGATGGTTTGATAATATCAAAGAAAAGGAGAGAATCATTGTGTATCATCACTTTTCATCATTGCTGTGGATCCCCACCCCTCTTTGGTAGTAGTCGGCGATGGATACGGTTGCCATGGTAACCCCGTTTTGATGCTAAGAGTACGTATTTTTTTTATACATGAGTAATGAAATGAAAGCAAGAGACGTGTGTATGATTGCAAAATGTACATGAAAATGTTATATATGTAAAAAATAGTAATATGTGGTGTGTTGACGATGTGGGGGGGGTGGTTTGGTCTATATGTGTCATGATGATGCATGAGAGTCACTAGTAATTGGTTTGGTGAACCATGGAAGGGTTTCAATGTCAGCCAAATTGATACGCTTGTCAGGTTGTCGTTTAAGAATACGTTCGACCACTTGTCTTGCCTCCGTGCTGATGGTACGTTCAGGATGCTGTTGCCAGTCTGCCGAGGGCCATCGATACTCTGCACTCACGATGCGATAATAGAGATGCGAAACCTTCTCACCGCGTGCTGGATTATACATAAAAGGCAAATAACCGACAAGGAGTGCGTAAAGGATAATACCCATAGCCCAAGTATCCGTGCGGCGTCCATCATAGCCCATGCTTTGTACAATTTCGGGTGCTGCGTATTCCTCACTTCCGCATCGGGTCGTTAATATGGGTGCTGTCGGATCAATCACACGAGCAAGTCCAAAATCCGTCACCTTGAGTCGGGGATGGCCGTCTTTATCCATGTGAATGAGAATGTCTAGCACAATAGCGCAAATGGTTAATCATCACTCGCTTGGTCCAACCTTGTTTTGCCCATACACTTACTTTCAAGCTTAAGATCACGATGAACAATATTGTGCTCATGCAGCCATAGCACCACATGTAATAACTCGGTAAAGATACGTCGAATCAATTCCTCATCCACAGGTTTTCTTGATTGATGCATTTTTTGTACGAAATCAAAGAGCTCGCCGCCTTGTGCGTATTCCATGACAATGCATAAATGTTGTTCGGTCTCCATGGTGGCTTCAAGATGCACAATGGATGGGTGATCAATAAACTATAAATACACATACATGGCATTTGTCAATTCTTCCCACTGCCTATTGTTGTATGTATGTGTGTGTGTGTGTGTGTGACCTGCTTACCTTTAATACACCCACTTCACGTTCAATACTGGATCGTATCCTGGCATCGGTAGCAATTCTATCCTTGTTGATCATCTTGATAGCAAATTCAACACCATCATTGATACGCGTTGCCAAATACACCTTTGAAAATGCACCCACACCGATCAAGCGCCGAATCTTGTAATCACCGATTTGTTTACCCACAATATCCTCTTCAGTGTACTGCATGGGTGAAGGCGATGGAAACTTGTATTCACGATTCATGGTAGGTGGAACGAGTTTGTGATTGGTTGTGGATACCACATCATCCAAATCTCCAAGCATTGGTTCCTCGGATAGTGACGGAAGCTTATTTTTGGGTCGTCCGGGAGTCCACGAAGGTGAAGTGACAATGACGGGTATACTCTGTGAAGGAGGTTCCAATGATGATGATGATTGTGGTGGTAGTGGTGCTATGGTGGTGGTAGTGTTGGTGATGTTGGTTGTTGTTGTTGCTGTATTATCGGATGCATGTTCAGGAGGCTTATCATCTTCACTTGTTGGTGTCACCGGTGATAATTGAGGTGGAGAAACAATAGGGTGTTTAGGGAAAAGTCGATGTTGACGAGAATGCATCGATGCACTTCCTGGAGCAGGACTTGGTAATGGCATAATTTCATCATCATCATCATCCGAAGAAGAGGAAGAAGAATATGAACGATGACCAGTAGGTTGTAATCCTGATGATGCAGCTTTATCTGATGTTGATGTTGTTGTTGTAGTTGATGCTGATGGAGACGATGTTGATGCATGCTGACGATAATTGTTGGGAATGGGTGATGGTGCAGGAGGAGCCATTTTGTTCGCTGCCACCAGATGTCTTAGTCGATTGGCAAAGGTCATTCGACGACTTGATCCCATATCATCATCGCCATCCAACAATACTTCATTATCATTCATGGTGATAGGAGCACTGATAGGTCCATGCGCGCTGTCACTTGATCTTCTTGGAGATGACGCTGAGATCGAAGAAGCCAATGGAGGTGGTGGTCGAGGTACTGATAGGGTGCTTGTACTAAAGAAGGCATCTGTCTTGGTGCGATCATTGGTAACAACTTGTTCATCATGGTTCTTGCTTCCTTCTTGTTGTTGTTGTTGCTGCTGCTGTTGAGACGACGACTGATCCTTCATATCCAAGTTGGTTGTAATAATCCCAAGCCCTATTGATGCTTGTTGACGCTTATGCCCGCGTGCTGGTTTTGCACCATTGTTGGTGGACTCCTTTGACACCGTCGACTAGCATGTTGAATAGTTCAGTATACCTGTAATGGTCGAATGAGGAAGAATGGAGGATATACCTTGAGAGGGGAATCAGAGACATTGAGATCGACGGCATGAGACCGTTGTTGTTGGTGCAGCGTGGAGCTGTTTGTTGACATTCGAACACGCGAAAAGAGAAGGAAGAGGAGGAAGAAGGATAGTAATAAATGGTATCAGTTGTATGAGTGAGAGAAAGAGAGAGTGTGTGTGTGTGAGTGGAGTGTGTGGGAAGAAGAGTGAAGAAAGAGATCTGCAGGTATATAAAAGACGAGTGAGCTGAATATAAATCAAGCGGAACCCCACCTTCTGGAGGCAAAAAGGCCAAGATGTATTTAATAGCGCCTAGAAAAGTTGACCTTTCTTATAACGGAGGATTTTTGCATTGTGCCTCGACTCATTATGTGTGCATTTATATCACATTTACACCTTTTCACACACACTTGCACTCACACTTTCACTCACATGAGATGATCCAGGGCCAAAAAAAGGGACCCACCAGCATTTGAATGAGAGTATCCAATCCCTTTGATGCCAAAGTACCACATGTTCCCGCTGGTTGGAAAAAGTGTCCTGCTTATTCATTACCCAGCAACCATCCACAACTACACACACACACACACACACACAAAACCCCCCTTTTCCTATATGGCAGTGCGCCATTTTCTCTCCTTGTTTTGCAACCGCCCTCTATGCCATGATCGGACGAATCGCTCACCCCCACACACTCTCTCACACAGAGCACCGTGGTTGGTTTTACAAGACTTCCCTTTCACATACGTCTTGTGGTATGCATACGGCAACTGTCATTTCCGATATATGCACATCCAATGCAGCTCTCACGGAACAAACCAATGCTATTGCACATGACATCAACAACTCTACCATCGCTAATCCGATATTGTGCTTTGTATGTGTGTTTTTTTTAGATTTGTACTAGTACCAATAAGATCTCTTTGTTTAATGCCGATGAAGCATCGATATCCCATGCTTTTGTACTAGCGCATATGGACAAAAAAAGGTATCTGATCAGGACATTAAAAAATAGTTGACCATTGGATCATGCCAAGATGTTCCTGTTGTCGTCGAAATATACCCACTCCTCCTACTCCTCTTTCTCTTTTTGCTCTCCTGCCCTTTCCTCCATCCTTATACATATATGTATTTTGCTTTCATGTATGTATTCTTCAGTCATTTGATATATAGAAAACAGGGGGCTATAGCTTCTTCCCTTACATGATTGCAGATGATTGATATCGTATGTGCTGTGATTGTTTACTACACGCATGATAAATCGACAAGACATCACCTTATTCAGTCGTTTCATGCTACGTTTCCAACGTTCAAGGAGGGATGAACAGGTATACTTGATAGTGGTGTCATTATTGCTGGAAACAATCAACATCTGATTTACGAATTTTGGCAACAATCAGCACCCATCTTGGCTTTGTTGTGAGCTTGCTCCTCACATGATGAATGTGACATGTGACATACATTTTGCTGCTGCTGTTAACATATAATAACAACGTACGAGTGAGACAATTAAAAAGAACCACAATACTACGACTTGTTTGTGGTACATATGCATTGATCACAGAAATGTTAGGCTCTTATCCATAAAGCTGTGCAGACGTGGGCGGATGTCATTAATGGAGTCGACATCGCTCGTGTATACCTACCTCTTCTTTGCTCACTGTGCAACAGCCCTATGTTGGCATTTTGATTTCGGAGTTGGGTTTCCATGACAAAGATGATGAGACGTGGTTGCGCAGGTTACAACAACAATGGTAACAACGACAGCAATGACACTTGGATTAGGCAATAGTAATAACATCTTGTTTTTATATCCACTAAATGTTTCACATGATTTCTTATGATAATTGGGTAGAAAAAAAAGAGCATTGTGGGAGATCTTGTGTGTAAGAGAGGGGATGGGGGGCAAAAAGTAAGGATGGCATGCAGGTGTTGTGTACCACATATGGAAGGTGCACCAGAGGTGCATTGCATCTCTTCTATTCTTCCTCCTTCTACCCGCGCCTACTTTATTTCTTTCTCTACTCTTCCACGCCACAAAACACATTCACTTTTTGATATCATGGGAGAATCACGTATGGAACTAGTTGCTTGGTTGAACGACCTTTTACAGCTCAACTATCGCAAGGTCGAACAAGCTGGAACAGGTAGGCGCCTTCATTCCTGTCATGTAGCGAGGACACGCTCACTCATCGTCGCAACATTTAGGTGCTGCGTATTGTCAAGTTATGGATTCAATCTTTGGTAGGGCAATGGGAACAACGTGGCTTGCACTGAAAAGGCTTATTGAGATTCCCGAGGTCAACAGGCGATGTGCGTTTGAGCAAGGTCAAGTTTGATACAAAACACGAGTACGAGTATGTTGGGAACTACAAGGTGTTGCAGCATACATTCGATAAGCACAAGTAAGTGATATTGGATACGTCTTTTTACGCGTATATTGACACTTGCATTGTATATAGGATCGATAAGGTATTGATGATGATGGCAGATCCGCTTCGAGAAAAGAGTTTAACATTGGAGCCAATAGATCATCCCTGTGGAACGTCTCATGAAGTGCAAGTTACAAGATAATCTCGAGTTTATGCAATGGCTCAAGCCGTTTTGGGAACAAAACTATCCTGGTGGTGAATACGATGCTGTGGGACGACGAGCTCATGGAGCTGCCAAGGCACGCGCTGTTCGTTCAGGTGCTGCTGTACCAGCTGTACGCAAAACCCCTGGATCTAGTAGTGGTAATGTTATACAATGCCTCGATGTGAATGGTGCCCAAAGTTGACATTTGCATCCATCCTAGCACGCACCAATTCACGTGCACCCTCTGCCACATCAGGTCGTCTCTCATCAAGCAGTGCTAGTGCTAGTGCTATGGATAATCATTCGGCTTCCATGGTGATCGATCTCCAAAAACAAGTATCAGAGCTCAAGTTGACAGTGGATGGATTGGAAAAGGAGCGTGATTTCTATTTTGGCAAGTTGCGTGATATCGAGATCCTCGTTCAAGAACAACTGGATGCGGTTGAACAAGAACATGGCAACACGGATGCACCAGAAATCAATGTCCTCAAGGAAATCCAAACGGTCTTGTACAGCACCGAGGTAAGTAATGTGCAATCATCGTGCAATGGATTGCCAATGACTAATGATAACTGCTGCAGGATGGTTTCGAGGTTCCTCCTGAGGACGACGACGTTGCTGCTGCTGAAGTCGGTGGAATGGTGGATCATCATCATGCAGTACCTGCTGCAGGGGCCCATCAGCAAGATTTTGATGACGAGACATTCTAAGCTGCAACTAGAAAGAGCAACAACATACCATAGTAGCGAGGATCCAAAAAAGTATCACCCAATAAGAGCATGGCTTATTACCAAACGATCGATTTCATGGTGAATGGGACAAAGAGTTGGGATACATGGTATTCGGGATGAAGGATGGCAATCTTAAACCCGTAGCAGGCATGGCTTAAGAGTAATTGAGATGATGTTGCAAATAAGAGATTGGGCGACTAAGAATCATGATTCATTGGTGGAGTACGAGCATTGATTAGAACAAGGGCACTTTATTCAAGAGTCGTGGGTAATGCGAGGAGAATGAGCGTAACTCATCAACGACCATGAATACGTGTTTCAAAATATTGATCGTTGTGTCACTACGTTAAGGTACACCAAATCCCAAACCTTGTGTTCGTTAGGAAGATCATCACCAAACCCATCAACTTATTCGTGATCCCGTAATGTGATCAATAAATAAACACACGTTCCTGAAACATGATTAAAGTTTTTGCTTTACGTGGTAGCATCCATTACTATTATACAAAGAAAAGGTTGCTAGGGTATCACACTTTTTTGAATATAGACCAACCACCAATCATGATCCTAAGCACCAGCATCAAGAATGCAACGAAAAAATAAAGCACAGCTGAGAAGATGATAGGTGTTTGGTAGTTTGGTACGTCCGTTTGGTTGACTATCATCGAGGCCAAAGGCTGCCCAAGTAAACCACCGAAGCTCCAAGTAAAAAGCGCCCAACCAGAACCAACTTCGGAACGTTCGATGCCTACGCAATCAATGATCACGGCAATGATCAGGCTATTGAATGCCCCTACTCCAATTCCATGTATCACAGCAAAAGCCCAAAAGCTTGCTGCAGTCGTCGCCGTGAACCAAATCGATAGCTGAATGACGACACACAACATCCCACTGAATATGGCCATATTGAAGCGACCAAGATAGTCTGCCACAAAATTCAAGGTGATTGAGCCAACCGAATTGAAGACAGCCATAATCCCAGTGATATTGGCAATGCTCCAGGGATCGATACCAATGCTCTCGGCGTATGGACCTATGAAGCTTGCGGGAACCTGACACGGGTTTAGTCATACACAACCACTCCTACACGATACGCTTGACACTTACAAAAAAGACGAAGGCACCAACAAAATGACCCGTAATCAAGATGACATACTTCTTATTCTTGAACACCGAAAAATCAAGGAAAGGAACCGATTTTGATTGAGGATTGAGCTTGGTGCATAATGCTGCTGCTATGCCGCATAACACTAGTTCAATGAATCCAAGAATACGAAGAGCCCAACGATAGCCCACAGTTTGAAAACATGCAGTTACGATGTTGGAGTATGCAATCGAAGAAAATCCAATGCCTGACATGCAAATGCCGATTGCCCACGCGCGCTTAGTCTCAAACCATGTCATGGTTTGATTCATGCAAGGATAAAACACCAAGGATGAGCCGATGCCACTTAGGATCCCTTGAGTTATCCACAGCTGCCAAATCTATAATAAGGAAGAGGCATTCGTAATAAGCAAGGATACCAATCTTTCATCAAAAAAGGTACCTCGTTTGTAATGCTGGCAAGCATTTTCGACAATACAGTGATCAAGCCGCCAATAGCAATGATGTATCGGTCATCCATTTTTGAGCTTGTCCACGCATAGAGTGGTCCTGCAGCATTACCAAGGCATCCAGCTAATGAGCCGATCCAGCTTAGCTCTGTCATGCTATTGGGATACACCGTTGTATTGTAGTAATTGAAAAAGACAGTCCAACTAAAAGAGAAATGGGTTAGATAATGGGTTTACTTGCTTGGATCAGGAACGTACACTAAGCTCAAGCCCGCCCTATTATGCATCGTCACGTTTGAAGGTAAAGGTTAGATGATACTACTGCTATAGAAGCCTTTCATAATAGTACATACGTTCCAGCGAGCCCCTAAGGATAGGAAAAGAAGACACGATCAGCATTGATGCCTTTTTATGTTCGATCCTCAGCATAAAACTCACACAAAACGATCCAAAGACAACCAACCAAGCCTTCCAACCACCATCTGGTGGTTCTTTCCACTCGACATTTTTCGTTGGCTCATTGACAACGGTGGTAGCCTCAATCGATTTCTCATCAATCGCTGTGTCGCTTGCCCTTGAGCTCATTGAATCAAAAGAAAAGATAGATCAACCGAAAATGTAACCGAATGATCGAAGGAAATAAGAATAACAACGCCATCGCCACATTATGTACTGAGACGTTTCGTATGATCCTGTACTACCAAAATGGCTTAATGTGTTGTTTTCTTGTGTAGCCTTTCGTTATGTGTCATGATCTCTACCAAGTAAACAAGAAATAAACACGATCCTATACTTTCCATCATCCTAACACGGGATTGAATGCTACTGTATCATGCATGCCGAATCATCCTTTTTCGCTGACATGATGATCAGCATTCAATAAGCTCTCCAATAAGCTGATGTTGTTACCGGGAGGATGACCTGCTGATGCTCCATCCTTACGACATGAGTTAGACCCATCTTCGATAAGGCATGGTCTGTGCCTCCTATTATTTGTGGGTTACTCAATTTTATAGTGCCAAGTCATATGACTAGGATTGGTATTGTGGCCCTAACACTAATTCAACGCAAAGACTTACACAATAAACAAGTACTTTTAAGCAACTAGCGCCCAACCAATATATAGATGCATGTTCCTGAAGACTTGTAATTGAGATTAATTTGCTATGTAGAAGAGAATAGCTACAATTATCTATTATGTAATAATGACAAGGAAAAGTGTTGGCCCGTGATGATGCGTATCGCCAAAGAACGGGACCTGATATCACACCTTTTTCAATATTGACCAACCACCAACCATGATCCTAAGCACCATCATCAAGCATGTAACAAAGAAGCAAATAGAAGCAGCGAAGACAATGGCCGTTTGGTAGTTGGGCACATTGGTCCGATTAATAATCATAGAGGCGAAAGGCTGGCCAAGTAAACCACCAAAGCTCCCAGTGAAGAGGATCCAACCAACACCGATTTCGGAACGTTCGACGCCTACGCAATCGACGATAACGGCAATGATCAGAGTTCCAAATGACCCTATTACCATGCCGTATAGTATAGCGAAAGCCCAAAAGCTTGCTGCTGTTGTTGCGGTGAACCATACTGATAGCTGGATGATGACACATAACAACCCTGAGAATACCGCCATGTTGAAGCGACCCAGATGATCTGCCACAAAGTTGAGGATAATTGAGCCAACCGAAGCAAAGATAACCATAGACCCAGTGATGTTTGCGATATTCCATGGATCGATGCCGATGCTTTTGGCATATGGAGCAATGAAACCTTCGGGGATCTTTTGTATGACATATGATTTGTATCCAAGCCTTGCGGATCATTTCATCTCATATAATTACAAAGCACTTACGTAGAAAGCGAATGCACCAATAAAGTGCACAGGGACTAAAATCACATACTTCTTATTCTTGAACACTGAAAAATCAAGGAAAGGAACCGCTTTTGACTGTGGATTGAGCTTGGTGCATAGTGCTGCTGCTATACCGCACAACACCAGCTCAATGAATCCAAGAATACGAAGGGCCCAACGATAGCCCAAAGTTTGAAAACATGCAGTTGCAATGTTGGAGTATGCAATAGAAGAAAATCCAATGCCTGACATACAGCAGCCGACTGCTAAACCACGACGTTTCGCAAACCATGTCATGGTTTGGTTAATGCAAGGATAATGAACCATTGACATTCCAAGACCACTCAACAAACCCTGAGTTATCCATAGCTGCCAAATCTATAAATGAAGAAGCATGAATATTAGATAGTAAGATAATGCCAACATTCAATCCAAAAATACCTCATGTGTAATGCTGGCAAGCATCATTGACACTGCTATGACCAAACCCCCAATAACAATAGCGTATCGATCATCCAATTTTGAGCTTGTCCACGCATAGAAGGGTCCTGTAGCATGTCCAAAACACACCGCCAAAGAACCGATCCAGCTTAGCTCTGTCATACTATTAGGGTACACGTGGCTGTTATAATAGCTGAGGAATACACTCCATCTAAGGGGCTAGTCGTAAGAACCTCAAGCGAATTGCATAGATCAAAAAGCAAGTTACATACATCGCAGCGACGCCGGAGCTATTCATCGTCATGGTTGATAAGCATGTTTTATATGGTCTCACATAGCAACGGGCAAGTACATATCTTCCAGCGAGCCCCTATGGGTCAAGAAATCAGAATCAGCATCATCATTGTTTTCACATTGAGCCTGTTGTTGTTTTTTCAACGCACACAAAATGATCCAAAGACGACCAACCATGCTCTCCAACCACCATCTGGTGGTTCTTCCCACTCGATATTTTTCGATGCCTCATTGACAGGGTTGGCATTATCAGTTGGTTCCGTTTCAATAGCTGTTTTACTTGCTTTCGAGCCCATTGGATTAGAAGAATGAAGAATAAAGACCTTTCCAAAATGGAAAGGGTATCAAGGGAAGCAAAAAATAAACGCCATAGATGCATAGCTGATTTGTTTTTTGTGTATCTTCTGCTACAGCGATACGTAGATGCATGGCTTGAGTGTCATCCCGCCCGCATGATATGCCAAATCTTAACGTAGAGATACAAGCTAATGCATGCGTTATGGCTATCCACATCATCCTTTTACCCCGTCTCACATAGTTAATTCGTGACGAATTACGTACGCCACGGACAAACGTCAATTTGGAGAGGTCATTAGGGCCACACATACATGCATTATCCCATACAAACATGCATCTTTCTGTTGTTCGCCTTGTACCTGGGCATTTAATGGGATATCGAAGCTTAACAACCATGGGCCTATCTTGCCGCTTTTACATGTTTGATTACTAAACCTACATAGTGAACTATATCCTACGTACAATGTTATTGGATAGCGCTGGATTGAATCGAAGCAAGTTAAAAGAATCCATCTCTTGGTTGATGCTATGACCAATGGCATATTGACATGCCTGCTACTGCTGAGAGTTTGGCGTCGAAGGAATCCATGGAAACGGCAAATAGCGTAAAAAGAATAAAGTACCTCTGATGATGGTTCATTATGAAGCCACTAATATCCCAGCACCTCGTTGTTATCCTACTCTCATTGTCGTTGTTGCCATTGTCATATTTGACTCCTTATAAGGCATACCCTCATCATCTCGCTTGATGATGCATGTGCTCTTACATATAGCACATAACCTTTGATGTAGCTACCCTCCGCGATGCATCTGCAACCACTCTCACCTACCATACGATTTGATCGTGTTTGGAATTTGATGGATCGCACTAAGCATACACCAAGTTCGCTTGCAAAGTGTCATAAAACCTCATCATGATGGTGATTGTGCAGCATAACTCAAAGAAAAGCTTGCCAACTACACTTCCATTATCAAATCCTCCCTATCCGGCGACCTTTTGCTTTCATATTTAACCAGAGGAATACCAAACATTCGTTCTTGATATCGACAAATGACTTAATCCAAAAGCAACCCTTTAATCCAATATCATTCACAAGAGATAGATTGAGAAGTACAACAAGTTGCTGCAATGGGGGTGATACATCGATTCTGGTAGCTTCTATCTTTTGGGCGTGCATTGTGCAAGGTGAATGGATGAACGTGAGGTGAGCACTTGATCCGTGGTAGCAAACTACATGCATATCGTCGAAACATGGTGTTGGATGATGATGGTTGTTGGTTGACAGGTTGCACAAGGGTGATGATGCTAGTAGGCTGTCGAGTAGCATAATTGAATGCACCAATCGTCCAGGGATGATAGCGTCAAGCATAACGGTAAAGTTGACAATGGATACATAGCCATAGCCATAGCCACATCCACATCCACATCCATAAGTCGTATGTATTGAACCAAGTTGCTACTCGTAAATGAAGCTGCATGTATACAATGACTGTTCATATAAACAAGGCCGTAAGACAAGTTGCTGCAAGGGAAGAGCGCTGTTTGTGGCGATGGAGTAAAGGATTCGCTAATAGCAATTGCTGGAATGAATGCTGTTACGATTGATCGTGGCAGAGAAGCGTACAAGAGCGTGTGTTGTGTCAAGAGACTCGTGTGTTGTAGATGAGCGACAAGAGAGCTGTATACACGCCATGCACTTGAGATTCAGCTATAGACAATCGGATCAAGGCAGTTGTAGGATTGACATCATGGGTTGAAGCAGGACAATCGTTCGCATGTAGTAGTTGTATACTTGAATGGGTCAACAGTTGAGAATGGGAGGAGAAGTGGCAATGAGCTGGGAGTGGAAGAAGTGAAAATTAAAATAGGTCAATCTGATGTTGAATGATACTTCTTTGTTTGAGCGTTGCTCAATCATATCCCCTTGAATCATGAAAGTTAAATGATGGGCATGCTGGGCTGGAGCAAGACAATCCTTCGTATGCATTGGATTGGACAACAAAGGTTAATGGGAGGAATGGGCTATTAGCCGGCTGTTTACAAATAACTTACCAATTTGATTCTTCTGATATTGGATGATGTTTCTGTGTTTGAGCGTTTTTCAGTCAAATCTCATCGGATCAAGAAAGTTGAATGATGGGCATGCTAGGCTGGAGCAGGACAATCGTTCGTATGCATTGGATTCGACAACAATGTAGAATGGGAGGACTAAGGATATTAGCTGGCATTTTGAACTATTCCTAAATAGTGTACAAGAATCATGCATCGCCTGTGCTGAATGACTCAAGTTACACAAACACGTCTGCTGCATCTTTTGCTCTATTATAGTCATACTACTTTGCATTAATCAAAGACCACTTCTCATATAGCATCACGCTTACAAACATAAAGGTGCCTGTATCTCCAAACTTTACAATCAAACGTGGGCTCTTTAATAGATCAACGTGCTCGTCGGGGTCAAAGGAATCTTGTATTAAAGTATGAAGTTCATCGTGGGCAATCCCAGATTTCGCAATGTCGCTACCAGCCAAACTGGATCCGGGGCTCAACCTCTTTCGACGACGATCAAAAATATATTTTTTGGACTAGTTGCGACATTGAACGTGAAACTTTCACACAAGGTGCAGTTGGCCAAGCCGAGCCCATTGCTCTATTCAAAACCCCACGTTTCATTGTAAAGTTTGGAGATACAGGCACCTTTATGTCTGTAAGCGTGATGCTATATGAGAAGTGGTCTTTGTTCATTGTGAAGTGGCTGGACCCTGGCAGAGCGAAAGATGCAGAGGGTCGTATTGTGTAACACAGCTACGTTTGCATGAATGAAAGGGTCAATGTATAATTACTTTATGGATCATCTAGGAACAGGCATGTATTGCTAGCTAACGGCCACTTTTATCCAATCATCATTGTTGCGAGATCCACTGCATGGGAACGATGCCCCTGCTCTAGACATTCATTTCCATGACAGTAGTTGATCCGAGCTGATTTGACTGAGCTTACGGTCAAAGAGAGATTACATCACTCTTGGACATCAAGCACGCTCGATGTACTAACCGATGTAACTTGTGTGAGCGTAATTAACCAAATAAAGCTCGGATCAACCTACTTAATCATGGAAATGAACGTCTAGAGCAGGAGCATCGTCCACCTACAATAGAATGCACAGCAGTTAGAATGCACAAAAAAGTGGCTATTAGCTGCCAATGTATGATATGAAAATGAGAGTTGCGTACCTATCATGCATTGTCCCTGAAGTCCTGACTTTTTACCTGAGTCACCCAAAGAGGTCCTTCTGCATCTTTGGCTCTCCAGGGTCTAGCTACTTGGCAATGAACAAAGACCACTTTTCATATAGCATCACGCTTACAAACATAAAGGTGTCTGTACCTCCGAACTTTACAATGGAACGTGGGGTTTTGAATAGAGCAATGTGCTCGGCTTGGCCAACTGCACCTTGTATGAAAGTTTCACGATCAAGCTTGCCAATCCCAGATTTCGCAATGTCGCCACCAGCCAAACTAGATCTGGGGGTCGACCTCTTCGACGACGACGACCAAAAAATATTTTTTTGGGCTAGTTGCGACATTGAACGTGAAACTTTCACACAAGGTGCAGTTGGGCTGCCGAGCCCATTGCCCCGGTTCATATCCACGTTTCATTGTAAAGTTCGAGGTACAGGCACCTTTATGTTTGTAAGCGTGATGTTATATGAGAAGTGGTTCTTGTTCATTGCCAAGTAGCTGAACCCTGGCAGAGCAAAGGATGCAGAGGAACCTCTTTGTGTAACTCAGTTATTTTTATGCATGACCGTAAAGGGATGGAAGGATGATATTGCATACTATTGACAATAGCCCATACATTGCCAGCTAATAGCCACTTTTGTGCATTCCGAACTTTTGTGCATTCCATCATAATGGAACGATGCTCCTCCTCCAGACATTCATTTCCTTGATTCAATTATCTTGGATCCGAGCTGATTTGGCTGAGCTACGGTCAAAGAGATTACATCAATCCAGACATCAGCATACATTCGGATGTCTCAGCCGATTAATCCTTGTTCGACCGTAACTCAACCAAATCAGCTCGGATCAACCTACTTGAATCATGGAAATGAATGTTCGGAGCACGAGCATCATTCCCATCACGTGGATTTCGCAACAATGCTGATTGGATAAAAGTGGCTATTAGCTGCCAATGTATGACCTTGAAAATGAGGGTTGCGTACCTGTCATGCATTGTCCCTGAAGTCCTGACTTTTTAGCTGGAGTTTATACAAAGAGGCCCTTCGCATCTTTTGCCTGTCAGGGTCCACCTACTTCACAATGAACAAAGACCACTCTTTCATATAGCATCATGCTTACAACATAGTATGTCGTATTCCAAAATTTACAATGAAACATGGGGTTTTTATTAGGAGCAATGTCACCAACTGCACCTTGGGTGCAAGTTTCAAGTTCATCGTGGCTAATCCCAGATTTTCGCAATGTCGCCACCAGCCAAACTGATCCAGGGGTCGACCTCTTGAAACTTTTTCGACGACCAAAAAAATATTTTTTGGGCTGTTATGACA